GAGATGAAAGAGTCTTCTCCATGATTCTGTGATCAGAAATGTAAAAGCAGTGTGGATTTAGAGCCACAACAGCTCTGCTTTTCTTTCAGCCGTCCTCGCCACTGAATGCCCTCCTGCTTTCAGAGTTGATCTATCACCTTATTAGAGGAAATGGAGCATTATGTCTTTTGCGGCCGTCTTTCTTCCCACCATTCAGGATTTACCATTCCCTAAACGATGGCAGTTTACACCCAGTGCTGCCTCATATGTCATTCTGTTGAGGTGTGTGTGTGTGTGTGTCTGTGTGCGTGTGTGTGTGTGTGTTGAGGGCGGGGTCACACACGCTGACTGAAAGCCAACCACCCCCTCCCCACTGCTCCGCCACCCCCAAGGCTCCCATCTATTCTGCCCATTTAAGGAAAAGCTGATGTTCACACAATTCAGGCCTAAATGAATGCTGTTCTGTGAACTGCTGTTGAAGGCTGTTGCTGCTGCTGGCAGAGCTGTGGCAGGGCACGCCTTCGCCGTTTTGTCAGCAGATGGTTGGAGCGGTGCTGGCGGTGGGGGATGAAGGGAAGGAGCTGGGGGATAGAGAAGTGTGAGTGACAGGTGTGTGGTGTCTTCATTTGTAAAGTCAGCCAGGTGTGTCAGCTGAGCTGGAAGGTGAGGAGATAGAAAAGGAAAGTAAGAAGGAAATCAGAGAGGAAATGAAAAGAGTGGAGCGGAGGAAATGGAAAGGAAAAAGAGAGAGGAGGGGACGAAAACAAGAGGGGAGGAGAGGAAAAGAATCAAAGATGGAAAAGAAAATAAAGGGAGAAAAGCAAAAGCAAGGAGATGAGGGGAAAGGAAGGAGAGGATAGGGAGGGAAAAGGGGAGAGGAGAGCAAGGGAAAGGGAACACAAAGCAAGAAACAACATAAATGGAAAGGAAAAGAGGGGAGAGGAAATAAAGAGGGGAAGGAAAGCAAGGAGACAGAAGACATTAAGGGAGAGAGGAGAGTATGGGAAATAAAAGAGAAAGGGAAGGGAAAGGAAATAAATGACAAGGGAAAGATGAAGAGAAATAAAAGGAAACAAACAGGAAAGGCAAGAGAAGTAAAGGAAAGGACAGAAAGGAGAGGGGAGGAAGAAAAGGGAGAGCAAATGAAAGGAGAGGAAAAGACAGGATGACAGAAAAGGAAAACAAAATGAGCAAAAAAATAAAGAAAAGGGGGACAGGGGTCTATATATCTTTATGGTACTTCTGCTTTTTTTTAGGTTTCTCTGCTGTCATTGTTCAGTACTGATACACACTCTGTTTCTTTCTCAGTTTTACAGGCACACACACACATACACACACACACACACACGGAGCTTTCTCTCACTAGCTCTTCTCGGTGATTTGGTTACCATGGAGAAGCACATTTTTTAGGCAGAAGGAGGTTGACATTATTACATGACAGAGATGGCACTGCTTATTCTCCACACACAAACACAAACACACACACACACATACATACATACACACACACACACACACATCTTGCCTTCAGGCAGTCGCCCACGCCACGCTCTTCTAGGCAAGAAGGCTTCAGAAATGTCCTACATATACATACTGTACACATATCTGCGCACACACACAAACACATTCTCACAGCACATCGCGCTCCACAGCAGTGAGGCAGTGAGAGGAACTCGAGGTGACACTAGAGTGGGCTGCCTCTGGACGGATGCAGCTGATTGGTTGGTTTAACTGAGGCTCTGACATCACGCTCTGGCTGGCCTGGCAGCGAGCACCACTGCACATACATGCATGTGTCTCACACACACTATAGGGTGGTGTTTCTGCATCTTATGTACATAAACAAACACACACACACACACATAATTAATTCCCCCTTCAGTATCTTTCAGGCTATTCAGGAACACTGAGCACAATCACACCAGTAAAGGATTATATGTATTATATCCTGTGTGTGTGTGTGGTTGTGTGTGTGTGTGCATGCCCATGTGTTCTATAACTTTATTGTTCACTATAAAGTGTAGGCCTTGCAGCACATAACAAACATATGAAGGCGTACCATTCTCCTTTGGTTTGAGAACAAAGTGGGACATGAACAGTCGTCCTGTGATGTGCGTTTTTCTATATGATGCTCTAATTCAGGGATTAAGCTAGTGGATTAGAACATATCCTTCTCTGCATTGGCAGTGACTAGCAAAATAAACTAACTGTATTTTTTTTTTTTTAAATTTAGTCTTGGTATTGATCCCGCCTCGAAAACTGTAACTATTTGAGTCCTTTTAGTCATCAGATGATATTGAATATTTCAGTCAATCTAATTTAGCTAAAACCAATAATTGCTTTTCATTTTAGTCAATTTTGATCTTATTATCCGATGAAATATACAGGTTGGATGAGTAAGAATGCAGCTTTGCAGAAAGTGTCTGGTCTATTGGTCTGATGCTATCAATGTAAGGAATACATCTACGCATTGAACATGTTCGAATTTGCATATTTATTTTGATCCAATCGACAACCGGCCCTCGGGGCCCAATACTCACAGTTATACTAACTGTTATAAAACAATGACAGTGCACACACAATCAAATGTTCTGAAACTACTTTTTTATTACCCAAGGTACAAACCTACCTTTTGAACAATGGAAATAAAAGTAGTTAATCTAATAAAATTGAAAATACTGTACACACACCAATTGCTATCTGCTTGCATTAAAAAATAAAAATGAATAAAAGATCTGAGATCAGTGTTAACAAAGGAAAAAAAATATCCGTGCCAAGTTATTCCTCACTGTGCTCCATGCTGCGCTGACTGTGTGCTGTGGCCAGTGTAGTCCAGATATGACAAATGCAGCATGAGATTTTGGTAAAGTTAATAATTTTTATATAACGTTTTAGTCTTCCCTGTTTTCATCAGCGATATTGCATGTTGATATAGACACAGTTAGCGTTTAATGACATAGGTGCAGTATCGTCATTATCTCGTCTTAGTCAAGGAAGAAAAGGTAATTGACGAACATATTTAGTCATAGTTTTCATTAATTAATTAATATAAGTATATAAGTGAATTAACATTAGCTGTAAGGTCAGTTAGTGTCCTTATAGTGTCTCTGATTGAGATACTTTTTTAGTATTAAGCGTACCATGTGAAATGTGTCCATAGCACCAGTTATTGAAAACTGTCAAATATCAAAGGTTTGCATAAAATGTCAAAAAGGGTTTTTATAACAAAACATGTTTAAATTCTTCAAAGCAAGGTATTGAAAAAGACTGGCCACATCATATAGCCCCCAGAATCAAGATTTTCAGTAGCTCATGCTGTAGGGCTTCATATTAAAGAGCTGAAAATTGCTTCAGCAGTTTAGAGGTGTGAAGAATGGTTTGACTATTTCCATTTGGCTGAAATGTGAGAGGTCCAATCGACACGTTTGTTTCAGTAAATTTTACTGCGCATAAAATAGCGGATATCCCATCCCGCACTGGGAAAGAACAGTGAACCTGTGTAGTTCTGTCTGAGGGGGATGATGGAGGATGGGGGCACTATAGGTTAGAAGTTATGATTGTGAGCTGGTGTGCGTAGCTGATGATGAGTTGAATAATGGTGAGGAGCTGAAAGGATTACTGGCCAGTGGTAATCTGTTGCCCCTCAGCTGAGGTAAAGAGGTGGAGAAAGACAGAGAGAGAAAGAGACTGTAGTGTGTAGCTGGGCGGCTGCCTGACAGCTGTGGGTCGTGCAGGCAGTGGATTTACTTTAGATTAGTCTGGACATGCGCCAACTAGGATTCAATCAGGCCAAGATGAATGTGCGCGCTGAAGGCTAACTGCTAACTGCTAAACTGATTGCTAACGGTCCATCCCACTGGCCATCAAGGAGCAGTATTTTTGGGGTTTACTAAAGGTCCCAGAGGTGCTCTGTTTTTAACTTGTGCCGTGATTCCTAGGTGGAATATAAGGGACGACTGTGTTTCCCCTTGTTTTGGATTTATTCTCTGGAAATATAAACCGCTGGGATTATAAATACGGAGGGAGATAAATCCTGTTTTTGTGCTGTCGAAGTGAGGTGATATTCAGTAGCCATGGCCACATGTGAGTATATGCTGTTGTCATTTAGAGGCTGAAGAATCTAATTTTATCAATGCTTCTGTACATGTCTCAGATCATCAATTTTCCATTTGTAATGGTGCATTTTACACACTTTTAGAGTCTAAATCACAGGAAACCACTGGCTGCATGTGCAAAGACGATGCACTGACCAGAAACATGTTAATATTCCTCCTTTGAGATAAAACAATACATATATATACAGAACAATGCAATTTACAGTTCAATTTCTCTCATTCAACTACTCTTTGTAGTCCTCTAAATTGACATATGATATATAATATAATAATATAAGCCTATTGGATCAATCTGAAAGCAGTAATTTTTATTAATCGGCTATCATCGGCTTAATCAGTGCTTATTTTATTGTCATAAAACTGACAACATTAGAGCCACAGGGCAGGTGAAACACAGCTTCTAAAGAGGTTTCTGTAGTTTAAAAAAAAAGAAAAAGCAGTACAGATCATATGATAGCCTTTGCACAGCTGTATTCACTGATGATGTTGAAATGGTAAAACAGCACAGTCTGTCATATCTGAGTGCTCTTTAATATTTGATAAGCTGTAGCAAAGGAAGGAGGGAAAAGCATGTGGGGGAATACCAAGATTTTTTTTTTCCATTTTGTAAAGATGAGCTGCCGCCACTTATTGTATGGAAGCAGGCGTTTGTGAAACATGATAGACACAACGAGGCTTTTAGGAGAAGCTGTATCTGTCTCGCATAAAATGAATACTTCTGCATTTGTTTGGTTCAGTGTTCAATAAAAGTAATTTGTGTTGTGTAAATGTTGACAGTCCCACAGATCTGTATATCACAGGCATGCCTAAACACTTTTTTTTATGAATTATTCCATTTGTTTATTGTTATTCTCGAGTGCTGCTGAACCCAGCTTGCAAACACGTTTGTCTTTTTAACCCCTGTAGGTAATGTGGGTATGCAACCTGTGCCGTAAGCAGCAGGAGATTCTCACCAAATCAGGAGAATGGTTTTCGGAGTCAGGGGTGCGGCCGGGGAGCCTGGGCACCTCCTTGAACGACCCAGCCACGGGAGGTGAGGCCCAACGGGACAGGAAGCTACTGCGCTCCAGGTCCCAAGCCCCGCCTTCCAGCACCAAGACCAGCGCGGGGCCAGACGGGACACAGCCGCCCACTGGTATCACTGCTCCCAAGGGTGCTGACATCATGCCTAGCTCTCGCTCCCAGAGTGAACCACCCAGAGAAAAGTAAGGCATCAGAATACACACAAACACAGCTTCTGTGATGCATTTAATCTGTATGCTGCAGGAGCTGCCACTGGTGGAGGTTTTACATGTACAATCTGTACCTTATTTCATTAACATGATGGGAATTGGAGAATATTTCTCTAAAACAGAGAAAGCTAGCACTGCTTCGGGGCTGAGGATCCATTTTTCTGGTATATTAGCTGAAGCTGCTGTTGTTTTTTTTAATCCCTGTGGTAAAAAAAAAAAAAATTAGATCTGTGTCTGCTCTAGCTTAACCAGTGGAGAAGCTAGGTCAGAGGTTTTAGTCTTGAGAGGTCTTTGATTCAATCCCTTTGTTTTCATTTGGTGGGTGAGTTAGGTAAGCATTCATCACTGTTTGATCTGTTCATCTAAAAGTGACTGAAGCAAGGTTTTACAAATATAGAAAGGATATTTCTCTTCTCAGCATTTTATCCATATTACAAAATCCAACAGTGCTCAGCTGTTGTCGTGGAAATGATGCACCTGTGCTTGTGTCTGTGTCTGCAGACTACACTGGTATAACGAATCATCTTCTCATACAGGAAAAGGCCGGTTTCCCTCCATGAACAAAATGGTAAGGGAGGCATGGGGCGTGGTAGTGGCAGGAGACCTGCTGGGAAGTTGCCGTCTCAGTCATCCCTGGATGAGCGGGTGGGCCCTGGGGACAGAGGAGAAAGACGGCTGGGTGATGGACGGAGGCTGGAGAAGATCCATTCTCAGGACTACGAGGATGGGGAGGACTTGGGTCGTGCAGAAACACACCGGAGACGGCCAGAGGACGAGGAGCAGAGGGAGCGGCAGCGCCGTGAGGAGGAGTTCCAGAATCGTTACCGTAGTGACCCCAACCTGGCCCGATACCCAGTGAAACCACAAAAGGAGGAGCAGGAGATGCGCATGCACGCTAAGGTGTCCAAGGTACGCCACGAACGGCGACACAGTGATCTGGCGATCAATGAGGTTGGACTGGGACCTGGTGAAGGAGGAGGTGGAGGAGGCAGCGCAGGTGAGGTGCCTGAAAACCGTCTGGCCAGGAGGGGCGGAGGTGGGGAGGGAGACCGCAAGGCCATCCTGGAGAACCACCGAGCCTACTCTGTGGATAGGACCGTGGGGGTAGGAGGGGGGCCTCCGCCTTCTGGAGGTGGATTGAGATCAGGGCCCCAACCTGGGGGACCGGTGCCTCCAGACTGGGGTCCGAACAAGGGCCGCCTAGAACCTGGTACAACACGGACACCAAGGGACAAAGGTGGGGATAACCTGCTGAGGAAGGACTCCCAGAGCTCGGACCAGTCGGAGTCTTTGCGGCCGCCCCCTCCACGGTCATACAAGAGCAAGCGCGGAGTCAACAAGAGGCAGATGTCCATCAGCAGCTCAGAGGAGGAGGGCGGCTCCACGCCCGAGTACACCAGCTGTGAGGACGTGGACATGGAAAGCGTCAGCGAGAAAGGTCAGTCATGTACTTACTCCACTAGTTTACTAAGCTAAATCGATCCCAACTTGCACCTTACATTGTTTGCTCTCATCCATTTCCCTCCATTAGACACTGTTGCTTATAGTTGTTTGTTGAAGCTGCCTCGCTGTCTTGCTGTTTTTTTGCTACTCACCAAAAGTTGATAATAAGCTGCTGCAGTTCTTACGTACCTCACATGCTCATCCTTAACATACACATGATCCGCATTCTGCCTACATGAATTATAAAAGACCTGGATTCATCTACATTGTTTGTCTTCTCATCATTGATAAGAGGACTCTCGGACTGTATCACCTACTGTATACACAGTGTGGTGTGGCCACGATTAGAAACACAGTTGTAACAAGTTTTCTTATAATTATATTATACTTATACTCTTGAGATAATAATTGGATAATAATAATAATTTTAACCTGTAAAAGAACTGTTATTCAGATGAAAGATTCAGTTATCCTAAAACATATAGGTAAAGGAAGAATATCATGATAAAGCTCCTTTCCATTTAATGTCTTCCACCTTCCCACACTTTATGGCCATATTCTCATGGCCCCAGCTTCTAAAATAGGCTTGGTAGTAGAATTACGATAATGTGCAAAAAAAAAAAAAAAAAAAAAAAAAAAAAAGAAAAAAGAAAAAAAGCGTGAGATATTTTGGCTGGTAAGATTATTCTAATACCAACACATTCTAATTTCGGACTGTAAAACTATACGATAAGTGATAGGATGAAGCACCCACCCAGCACACAGTGCATTACTATCCCTGTGTGTCATCTACACCTCTGCGCTGTGGCTAAACCCTGCTGCTCCCAGGACAGCTCTCATTTATTTGGAGAGTTCCTGTGATTTAGGCCAGCAGATTTGTGGAATTAGGTCAGTGGCTCGCTTGCTACGTAATGCTTCGCAAACAGCCAGCTGCACTACGGCCAACTATGGACCACCAGCTAAAATCAAGCCCGGTTGTGGTTGCATGCTGTATGGTTACTGGTGGTTTCTTGGTTTCTGTGTATTTTGCAGCTCACTGCTATGGCAGAGGCGATGCTGGGCCGTGCTAAAATAAGCCACGTGAGAATGTCTGAGTTCAAGAGGCAGTAGGTAGGGCTAGCTGTGCTCTATCAGCTTATCTCTCTCACCGGTCACAGAAGGGGCCTGTTCCAGATGTTTTAATCCAGATTACTATAACTCAGGGACTGGTAATGGGTAGATGGTGTGGATTGGGATTATTAGCTGTTTTAAACACTCTTTAGCTAGCTGGGCCTCAAAACAGGATGTCTCCTTTTACTCTCATCTGTGGCATGAGGCAAGTTTTGCAGGATAATGTGCAGCATGTTTCCCTACATAGATCCATCGGGTTAAGTGAGATGGTGTCACAGGGTCAAGTGTTCTTTTTCTGTTTTTAAAAGAAATTGCATTTTATGGGATGTTGTTTCACTGGGGTTGGTCTCATCTGATGACAATATTTAAGTGTAGACGTGACAGTGTTTGCAAGAGGGGCTTTGATGTCATCGTCTGGGTTACAAGTTTATGGGACATGATAAACAACCTCATGTTATGTGCCTGCAGTTAAAGCGCCTCATAATTTAAGTGTAACAGCCTCACTATTAAATGATAAGTGCCTTTGTAAGACGTAACCTTCCTCAAATTAATACATGAAACAAACATAATTGCCATATTTCCATCACATCTTCCACATTGTCTTGGTTTGTTTGCGGTTTGACTGGTCCTCTTCCTCTGCAATGGTTTAATGACACTTGACTAGAGATTTAGCGACCCCTTTTCACACTGTCACATTGTTTTATATACATATATATATATATATATATATAACTCATATATATAATATTTTTCATATTTGTATTGTAAATATTTTGGAACATTTTCTATTTATGCTTCCTGACTTGCAGGACTTGCTTTATCTTTCTATTTTTTGTACTTATCGATATGGACCAAAACACCAGAGAAAATTCCATGTGAAAAACTACTTGGCAAAAAACCTGATTCTGAATTAGGATTTTTGATATTAATATTGAGTCAAGTGACTTCCTGCATTGTGAAACCATCATTATTAGGCCACCATTCAAAGAACATAAGAAAGAGATAGCGGACTGTAATGTTAGCTTCCTCTCATTTTAAATTTAATGTTGCCCTGTGTTTAAGCTCACTGAGAAATGCTGGGCTGAAAATCAGGGGACCTATAGTGACACCAGGAGAAAACAAAACATTACTTTATTTATTTTTTTTTAAACATTATCAAGACAGTCAAATAAGACGTTAAAACTCTGACACTGTTCTGTATAACTGCAATAACTGGTTTAAAGGTTGATTATATTTTTTATGACGTACAGGTAGTTTTATAAAGCTGCTTCAGTAAAAGACTGCATTGGATTTATCATTACTTGTAAGTATTTCTACTCCTGGTGCCTGTAATCAAAGAGCTTTATTAGTTTTAAGCTATAAATCAGGTAGATGGGATTTCACAGATAGTATCATGGACTGGATTATAATCGCTGATTTAGTAGTTCACATAAAAAAGCTTAGTGGCTCCACTAGTGAGCATCATAAGGTAATTACAGTAAGAGGAAAAAGCCCAGTGAAGTTTTATGTCCACAAAGATGACCTAGTAATGGTAAAATGTGACATTATCTAACATAATGAAGAATGAAGATTCTGCACTGATGTAGAGTAGACTGTAAACAGCTGCCAGCTGTTAACAAGTTAAAATTTGTAAAATAGATGGATTCAATGCAGAACATGAGCATGGAGGCCATGCGTGGATTACAAGCTTTGACTTTTTTTAAACACTCATCGCACAACAGACATGATGCATAAGAGGATATTGTTATGTAATATTCATGCATGAACGGTTGATTATATGTTCTAAGAATGCTCTTAGCAGGATTATTGTTAACTGTCTTTACAGTGTGGTTTCTCATTCTGCCCAATAAGTTATATCTAACCAGATACAGCAGAGTAAGATATCCCAGACTGATGTTTTAATGACACAGCAACTTTGGCTCAGTGTTTGAAGTCAAATGGGAGCAGGTAGTAATTAAATGTAATTGGGTTACTTCTTGGAGTAAAGGGAAACAACAAGGTGGTAAGAAGAGGAAGTCTGCTAGTGGGATGACACTGGATCCCAGGGTGCTGCACTTAACGCTGTGTGTGTTTATGTTTGTACATGTCTTTCTATGGAGAAATTCTGGTTTGAAACCATCATTGTAAGGGCAGTTGGATGTGTTGTTTGTGTTGTTTTACTATATTCTTGGGGTTTGAAAACCAGGAGCCCACTTTACTTGTGGGGTCTGTCAGCCTTGTTGGGAGTGGGGGTTAGAATTAGGTTTTGGTTCAGGTTAGGCTTAGGCAGTCAGTTGTGATGGTCAATGTTATTGTATTGGGCAAGGGAATGTATTATGTCAATGATGGGTCTCCACAAGTATAGTAAAACAAGGATGTGTGTTAGTGTGTATGAGATTTTTGTGACATTGCGGTTCATAAAATTTGTTACAAGAATGTTGGAAATACAGACTAGCGAATGGTGGGAAATTTTAGTCACAGTCTTACTGACCTGTCAGATGGGGAGAAAAAGGGAACAAACGAAAAAAAACAAAAAATTACATTTACATTGGGATGGTATCATGCAAATAAAAATCACTTTGCTAGGTTCTGAGAAAGTTGTTGTTGTTGTTGTTGTTGTTTTTTTTAAAGATTTTTAAAACCTTCACGTGTCTTCTCTTTTATAATGGTGGTCTGTTTAGCCTTTTACACACACACACACACACACACACACACACACACACACACACACACACACACACACACACACACACACACACACACTGTTTATCAAGAACAATACTACGTTAATACCTGCAAAGAGCTGATGCTTTGATGTAGCATCAGTTAGAGGAGCAGCTCAGATTTTGTAATCTGCCCAGTGTGTTCATCCTCTGAAACCCTAAAGGTCCACTCAGCAGTTTAAATTGTGGAGTCAGCATTTATCCTCTAAAGGCATTCTGAGTGGACTTTCAGATTTCAGATTAGCAGCGCTGCTACATGCTCTCACTGGCTAACCTGTAAGAGCAGTCGCTTTCCATTTGATTCCCTTTGAATATTACTTGAATATTACTTCACATGTCTTTGACAAACACCAGTGTATGTCTTCCTTGGTTTTTCATCAACATTAACCTCTATTCACTCCCTTCCTGCTCTCTTTTGCCAGAAACTTGGGTTGAATCATTGTCTCACTCTCTGCCAGGCGCAGACATTCCTCTTATCTTGAAGCTGAAGATCCTCAGAGTCTCCTGAGGTCTTTTAAATCTCCATCTGATGTCATCCTGCTATTGTCTTATTCCTGTGGTGGTGTAGTGGTCTGATGCTGGGCCGGTTTAGCTCCTGTACTCTCACTGACCATCTGTCAGTGTTAATGAGAGTTGGGATACTCTGACAGTACTGGCGTTTCTGTCCCTGTCCAGGCTCTGGCATCAGTTTTGAAACAGGCCGTCTTGGAGCACAGGGAGTCACTTTGATTATGAATGATTTTTTTAGCTGAATGACAAGAACTATATATACTTCAGCCTTTAACACTTCACCGCTCTTCAAATTACAGATTACAGATTTTGATTTTGTTGGACTATCCTCTCCCCTGCAGGAGTCATAAAAAAGTATGTGGAAAGAGTAAAAATGTAAAAATGTAGTGGAAACAGTAAAATTACAAAAAGTACTGTCATTTACATTGATGGATAGGGTTAGTCAGTGTGGAGTCCAAACACGTAGGTTGTGCACTGTGGGGCCCAGCGTGCCAGGTAGGTAAGATGTACAATAAGGATGGGGAGATAAACTAATTACATGTTTTATATGGGGTGTCAAGTGACAGAACTTAAAATAATTAAATGGATGATTGGGGTTTTGTGAGGCCCTGACACCATCGGCCAAAATTCAGTCTTTCTTTAATTTAATTTGAGACATAACATCTCTCTCCCAGTCTGTTCTATCTTGGGATTGTAAAATATAATAAACTGTAGATTTTTACTGCACTTAACAAGCTGGACTGAGTGACTAACTTCCCCCTCTTTCTCTCTCTGCCTGCAGGTGACTGGGACTGTCATCCTCTAGATCCTGCAGTGTGGCATGTGAGTTTCAGCAAAACCTGACACATTCAGAGTGCTAATGTGCCACTGCCCAGGCCACTTAGCACACATGCACCTACATGTACTCCTCACATACAAACAGACACACACATCATCAATACAAATAGGATCACTGCAGTTTTATTCACATACAATCACATGTAATCTAAAGAAAGCATTTGCGTGCCTATTAAAGCCTACTCAGCAGAACAGTATTAGAAAAACAAAATTTAACATTAACATTATTACACTTCCCTCTTCCTACTCTGTCCCTTTTTTTATTTTTCTCACCCCCTCCATTACTCTTCACTAATCTTCCTTTATTCTTCCTTACCACCTTGATAATACCTCATAAATGTCTCCTTTTCTCACTGCTCTATTGTTCTTGTAGCATCCAGTTACATGGCAGCCATCAAAAGAAGGTGACCACCTGATTGGACGCATCACGCTAAGCAAGCGGTCGGCTATGCCCCGTGAGGCTGGTTCCCTCCTCGGCCTAAAAGTAAGCAGGAAATCATTCCTCATTTTCCTCATCACTCTTTTAGTATTCGTTTAAAGGAGCGATTTGTAAATTTTGCTATTGCTACATAGCCAACATTAGCATTAACGGCTGTTTTCTTACCAGTCTAGAAGAAACGTTGCAAGTTCAGCATCAAATTTCATTCCTTTACTTCAAGACTTGTCTTCAGAGGTGGAGAGCAACACCAATGTTAACTCTTGATCACATCTCTCTGAAGTTAGCACGCTCACCAGCTAGCCCACTTTCCGATGGCAAGTCACTGTAGCCACCAATCTGCCGTGAAGACATTGCACTGCTCAGAGGTCGTATTATAACCCTTTGTCTTGTAAATGCAACAATGACCAAAGCTCTTGTCAAGCGACAATCACCACCACCTGCTTCCGGCAAGAAACCACATTCTCCGCCAGAGAAAACTTAAAAATAGCCCCTTTGAGATCTGTTATAGAGTACAGATGAGGTGAGTAAAGAGAGGAAGAAAGTGAAGGATTAAATGATTTTTCCAATCCAGAAATAATAATGTTTTGTAATGCATGTGAATGCTGTGGTGTTCTGGGTAGCAAACCCTGAAAGGTAAAAAGTATTTGACAACTGTGCAGAAGTAGGTATAATAATGGCTGTCAAGCAATTACTGCTGTCATCCACCTCTGTTCCTATTCTCGTCTTTGTGTGCAGGTGGTAGGAGGGAAGATGACAGAGACAGGAAGACTTGGGGCCTTCATCACCAAAGTCAAGAAAGGCAGCCTGGCAGATGTTGTGGGACACCTACGAGCAGGTGCGAATCCACTGAACATATTGCTGCTGTGTAGGAGCTACTGTACATTGTGTATCAGTAACAGTTTCATTGAGAAGCTTTTTTAAAGTCAAACTGAAATGAAAATTAGCATTGTGGTGGTGACAGCAAATGACCAAACTATCAAAACTCTCAGCAACACGTCGCCCTCCTCATATAATCCATATTATCCGTCATTTAAATCACATTTGTGGGAATCTGTGCTGATGTTAGCAAGCTAGGTGAATTAGCTTCCACAGTGCAAGTGGAGTGTCCACTTTCAGAGTGGAAACTGGTTAGCCTAGCTTGCTAGTAAAAATGTATTTTATCAACACTCATAGGATATACAGTATGGAGTTCTCAAGTCTTCTAGTGTATCACACGAGATGACACCATGCCTCTAGCGATGTTTCGTTGCCATGGGAAACGCCACCCAGAGGCTTGAAACCAAGAACCAGTTTCCTCATATATGTACAATTATATATGTTTTATCCTGTTTTCACATTTCAGTTTGACTTTAAGAAATATAATATAAATATAATTATTAGCAGCTGGCTCTTAATAGACAGACATAATGCAAGATGAGCTGCAGGCTGCATCATCATTGTGTTGTGTGTTGGCCTACCTGGTTCCAGGTGACGAGGTGCTGCAGTGGAACGGGAAGTCGTTGCCAGGAGCAACCAAGAAAGAAGTGTACAACATTATCCTTGAATCAAAGGCCGAACCCCAAGTGGAAATAGTTGTTTCAAGACCTATAGGGTGAGATTAATGTTATCAATATGTAATAATTATAATTAAAATACCTGAGTGATGACACTGATTTTATTCTGACAGACACTTTTGATATTTCTTCCTTCCTTTATCTAAAAGCTCTATCCACCGAATTATGTCCAAAAACTTCTTGCGAAAAGTGTATAGAGCATATCAGTAAGTAATGTTGATTGAATGGGCCGAGCCCCTTACCCTTTTGCCTCCCCTGAAATCCCCCAGATCCAAAAGAAAACCCCATTTTTCCAGCTATTCCTTTGTTCTCTACTACACACCATGTTTAATATGTAAGTGTGTATTTGACTGAATGCTTGCTCTTCTTCTTCTATGCAACTGTTGGTTGACATGAGTCTTTTACTCATTCATTTTTTAAAGATGAATGTACACTAACGTCTTGACTGTGTCGTTAACTTGCAAGTATCTTGATGTGTAATCTATGAATTTAGTTAAATGTAGTTTGCTCTGACTCTTGCTTGCTGACTGCTCTTTGACTCTTTACAGAGACATCCCAAGAATCCCAGAGTCATCCCACCCTCCTCTAGAATCAAGTAAGTGTTTATATGGGCAGCTTTATTAGCTATATATGTTATTAACATTGTTTACTGCTTATATAAGGAGCCTTTTCTATGGTTTATTACAAGATCTGTTGTTCTCTTCATCCCTCAGCAGGCTCCAGCTCCTTTGAGTCACAAAAGATGGACCGCCCCTCTATATCAGTGATGTCCCCTACCAGCCCTGGCACCCTCCGAGACCTTCCTCTGGTTCTGCCTGGACGGCTCTCTGTGAGTATCTGGAGGAGGATGGACGGAGGCTCCTGTGCATAGATATAAATATGGATAGAGGTTAATGGCCTTCACACGTCATTTCAGGTGAAGCTGTGGTACGACAAAGTGGGCCATCAGTTGATCGTCAACGTCCTTCAAGCCATAGACCTGCCAACCCGACCAGACGGACGACCTCGGAACCCCTATGTCAAAATGTACTTCCTGCCTGATAGGAGGTAAAGACACAGTATTCATTTTTTCTTATTGTGCAGCTCCTCCTCACAAGTATTTCTTACTATAAATGAACCATCGTCTGGGCCTGTTATTTTAAAGGATTACTGTCTTATGAGGTCATGTTCAGGACAATGCTTCCCTGAGTGTTCGCACATTTGTTCTAGTGATAAGAGTAAACGGCGAACTAAAACAGTGAAGAAGAGCGCTGAGCCTAAGTGGAACCAGACCTTCATATATTCCCACGTTCACCGGCGGGACTTCAGAGAACGCATGCTAGAGATCACAGTCTGGGACCAGCCCAGAGTGCAGGAGGAGGAGAGTGAATTCCTGGGCGAGGTGAGTTGGACATCATCTCCATATACTTGAACTCCTTTTTTTTATACAGATCTTATCTACAGAGTTTTTGATGATAAATTGCCTTTATTTTGTAGCAATGCAATCATATGAGTGTGGTTTACTGAACTGGACAGTAAATGAAGTGGCAGTTTAAACCATCACAGGAATGTACTGTATTCTTAATGTTACCTAAAACATCAGTTTCATCTTAATTTGCTTGCTTTATTATTCAAATTATACAAGTCAATATTCTGAATAAATCTTTGCATCAAATATAAAATTGTATAATTGCATAATCTTCCACATATTTCTCCAGTTGCAGTTTACAAATGCTATTTGAATCAGATGGAAACCTTGGCTAGAAATTAGGATGAAGCCATATGGATCTGGACAGTGCATGTTCACACAATATAAGAATGAATCAAAGGTGGTTTGCTTAATGAGATAGAAAAGGAGAAAAGGCATCTTTCTGCTACACAAACTTATAATATCTTATACAAATCTTCAGTTTGTCCTCTAATCTGTGATTTTAACTTGTGAGGTATTGGTTAATATTAACCCCTCAGGCTTCCAAAATTATTCAGATTAAACATTCAAAAAAGGGAAAATTACTACTTGGTTGAGCTTGTCACAACTAAAAGATGTCTGTGACGACAGGTTGCAAGTTTGTGACTGTTTCTCTTCTTCTCTCTCATCTGCCCCCTTCCACCCTCTCTCTCTCTCTCTCTCTCTCTCTCTCTCCTCTCTCCTCTCTCAGATCCTGATCGAGTTGGAGACGGCCTTGCTGGACGACATTCCTCACTGGTATAAACTGCAGACACATGACGTGTCTTCTATACCTCTGCCTCAGCCCTCTCCGTACCTCCCACGCAGACATGTCCATGGAGACAGCCCCAGCAAGAAACTACAGAGTATGTCTCGTTATACACAGTACATGTACAGGCGATGTGTTTATATGTGTGCGTATGATATAATATCTGTTTTGTGAACCTACAGTATGTGAGTGTGTGGTTGCTAACCTCTCCTTTACTGAGCTTTCTATTTTCTGTCTGTTGGTGTGGGAGACAGAAACAGAACCTCTCAACCTTACCCTGTCTCGTATGTGTCTGTTGTGTATGTGTGTGTGCGTGTGTGCAGGGTCGCATCGTATCATTGATACAGAGTTTGATGATGGTTTGATGGTAGTGACTAAAGGTGGGTGGGGGGCATGGTTACTGAATATTTCCTTGTAGTAGCCTGTAGGCGTCCAGCACTGGTTGAGAGAGCATCTTCTTGCATCCTCGCTCCATCTGTTACTCCCAAACCTTCCAGCCTCCTTTTGGCTCCACTGTATCTTTTTAGAACAAATTGCACCCAAATTAAATGAATTAATCTTTGCTGTATCAGCAAAAGGCAATCATCGTATTGCTACCGGACTGCAGATTTTGAATTACAGTTTTGTGGTGTTTTGGTGTAAAAGTCTTTATACTGCTGAGGTTTAGCAGTGTACTGTACTTCAGTGAGGCTGCAGTGAACAGCCTCTCCTCTTCTGCTGGGCTGTAGAAACACTGAAGCACTGAGTGCATGTTTGACTGTAGAGCTACAGTAGTTCACTGCCATTCCACTAAGTCTCCTGCCATTCTCCCGCATGCTTCTGCCCAAAAGTCGCTTACTTCACTTAAAGGACACTAGAAGCTGAGTTTGTGTTATTTTGGCCAGTCGAATCACTACAACTGCTTTGTTGTTGGACTGTTTCTGCTGTGACTTATTGCTGTGCACCTGTGCTTTCAACATTTACACATTTTTATGGGAAGTTTGATGATTGTACACAATCTGCAACTAATCTGAACGTCATAATGTTTTTTTAAATTTTTTTATCCTGATACGCTAACAATGCACATCTATACTGTTTCATTTAATGATATCATTAATGCTCCTCAACACAGAAACACAGGAGTCTGTGCTGATACGATACAGTAGGTTTATCTCGTGGCTGTTACTTCTCAGAAATCATGTTTTTACTGTCAAATTCTTTTCTGAGAGATGACTCTTAATGCCACAATACCCATGAGCCTTAGCAGTTGTTTCTGTGGAAAAGAAGGCAGTCAGCGGCAGAAATCAGAACTGTAGCAAGAAAAAAAAATTGAATTCATCAAAATGTTAATAACATGATAGACACCATAATACCATATATCTGATGTTTCATAGCTAACTTGGTAGGAACTAAGATTTTTATGTACTCAGGCTTGTACCTTTTCTTTTCAACAAAGCCCATATTTTACACTCATGATTCAAATACAAGAGTTTCATGTCCATCTAAGATTTAGAAGTGCTCCAACTGCAAGTCACATAACTTTGTCTATGCAGGAAATAAACAGGATTTATGCTAGACGACCAAAAACAACTTCTCCCTCTTTGCAACTGTATTGTACATCTACTTGTTACAGCTCGTAATCTCGAGGGCCAACAGTGTTTTAAAATCTTTAAACTTTTTTTCATGTTTTTAAGTCAGCAAGATGAACGTAGCAAGAAAAATAAGCCAGTAGATGATGGTGTCACTGTCAATGATGCAAATCTTCTCGTATTATCTATATCATAACATATGTTGTTTATTTTTAAGCTTATATTTAAATATATTTTCTATGGTCCTATACATATTCTTCTCCATTGCAATTGTTAAGAGGGGTGAATAGTCCCTCAGATCAATCTCTCCATAAAGGTTCAAACAAGAACTGCAAACAAATCTCAGCTCTGACAGAGACATTGCAGAAACAGTCAGCTACTCAGGCTAGCTAACTTGTTTACTAGCTGGTCATTTGCCTGTAAAACATCCTGCTGTGATGTTCTACAGTCTGTCAGAGAATGGCATCTGTCGTAGTACTCAGTAGCACAACGCTCACAACTTGTGCACCCTTATCAAAGGACACACAACTAATGCCTGGATGTGTGTGTGTGTGTGTGTGTGTGTGTGTGTGTGTGTGTGTGTCTGTGTCTGTGTGTCTGTGCGTGTATTCATGTTTGTGTGTGTTGAATCCATACAAATCCATGAATCGATATACATGTTGGGATGAATGTGTGTCTGTGTGTATGAATTTGGCTTTTTTGCACTTTTGTGTGTGCATCCATGCTGGATCTCTGTACGTATGTGTGTGTGTATGGTGCGTGTGTAGGTGCAGAGCGTAACTCCAGGGAGAGAGAGCGTGGCAGTACGCTGGCTGTGCCTGAGCAGCAGCGGCCTGTCCAGCACCGCTCCCGCTCAGTGTCCCCTCACAGAGAAGACTCCTGCAGGGCCCGGTCACGGCCCGCACATGTGCCCATGCAAAGGTCAGGACCACCTACTGTACCAGAGTCACCTGGTGAACTGTCAGAGGAGTGTGTGTTGTTTGTGGTAACAATGTAAAAACGTCAGCTAGTATCTAAAAGCATAACCTATACTACATTAATATATCCATCACTGAAATGATGTAATTACTCTTCCAAACAGACGTTTTGTCTTGTGTGGTCTTCAACAGTCTCAGTGTTTTGAGAGTACAATGTCTCCCTCACTATAATGTACAGTCATATTGTTTTTGATTTGCATTGCGTCAGGTCAGACTAAAAGTATGAGTGGGCATTTTGAATCGTCATAATGATTTAACTATGGACAAAGGTTCATATCACGCCTAAGTAAAAACCTTACATTCATTAGACATTTTTGATTTCATCAGGAGCCTGGATGAGATCCACCAGAACCGCCACCACTCCCACTCCCCCTCCCGCTACCACGACTCCCACTTGGAGCACCAACGCTCTGGTGACTCGGACTACGAGTACTCTGAGGACAGGTAACCTGTTCGTAGGATCTCTGAGGAACCACATGGGCTGTGGTGTGGGGTTATGACTGCGTGTTCCACTTTTAATTTTAATTATGTTAGAAAACAAGATTCACACACATTGGATCAGTGCTACTAGTGAGTCATTCAGTAGTGGTAGTAGTGTACATGCTTTATATTAACCTACATTTTATAAAAGTTGAATATTGTTTGGGTTAATCACTGTGTGTAATGTGATATTACCAAACTACTTTCTACTAATACGACTAACAGTTTGAAACTAGTCATTGCAACATGCTGAGTTTGTTGTATCATTCTGTATTGTTGAATGCAGACTTGATTGAAATCTCAGAATTATGATTTCCTGGTTTCTGTCATTCATAAGTTCACTTTGACTGTCTGAGTTGCCATCCTCTTCTTTTGTGTTTTCTCGGGTTGTTTTTCATTTGTTCACCCATCGTCATGGCAATGACAGTGAGGTCCTGGAGATGCACAGGTCTATCCGGGGCGGGAGTGCTGAGTGCCTGCACACAAACAGGTAAAACAAACAGGACAATCACCATTCAGGTTTATTTTTATAGTATGCACAATTTTATCATCATTTCCATCCTCACTATACTTTAACAACTTCATCTTAATACACAGTGTTGATATTTTTGTGTTAATTATCTTGAATGGATCCTGAGTGTATGTCTGCTTTTGTGCAACTGCATGAACACAAATTCAGCGTGTCACATCAGCGTCAAGTAGTCGTAGCACACTCATAAATTCATATCCAACTATTGTCTATCACCACGACTGTCTCATAGAAACACACACAACACACTGATCACTGTGTGAGGGGATTAGAGACCTGCTCAGTGGCTGACCTCAAAGAAGGCAAAGCTCTTTTGATTAATTTCTATCTTTTTTTCTTTTCTTTTTTTTTGCATTGGATGTGTTCACTCACAGCAGTGTATTGTATTTTTTTCTTGTCTTGCTTTATGTGCATGATCTCCACTCATACAACCAGGGGCGTAGGTAGATACAGCAACACACTCCCCCCCAAAATGCCCCTGTTAGTAAACGGTATCCATAAAGACATTTACAGGTAAGTGTTTAGCATAAAAGTTATTGTAGCGTACCCTCCTCTGTGCCTGTCTAGCTTTCCCAGACACATTTGTGGAGTTGGTGGGCCATTTAGTTGCGGCAGTGTTCTCTTAACGCAATAAATGCCCATGTGTCTCCCAGACCGCTGTGCTGCTTGTTTTTCCTTTGGTCATAGTGTGTAGCGAGGTGCTTTGTTATGGTGCTACTTTATCTAGCTAAATGGTATGTGCTGCTTTTTCCTCTCTGTTATGCAACCCTTTGAAGGGCCCTATCATCATCTTTTACATTTTTACATTAAAAACCCTTTTACATTACTTCTTTCCATTGTCAAAACAGACCAGAGAATTTTAGACTGACTTTTTTTTTTTAAAGCAGTTGAAAACAGGGAATCACTGATGCAGTCAAAGGAGCTCTGCTATCTGCGCTGACTAAAGATATTTTTTCAGAAGCTGAACAATAAGAAAATACTGGACCTTGTGAAAATAATAATGAGAATTTGGTCATTTGTTTTCATTGTTAGTTGACTCTCAAGTCTGGGGTGTTGAGCAGCCGGAAATGTACAACAGGGAAACATTATTTTAAACGCACTAATCATAACTTCTATTCATGTGTAGTTGTTTCACCACTTTGATCCAGACTGAAATATCTGAGCAACAGTGAAATGGATTGTCCCAAAGATATTGATGCTCCCTAAACAATGAATGCTAATCACTCGGCACTATGAGGTTGACATTTGTGGTTATCAGTGAAATGTCTGAAAGTATTGGATGGACTGCCGTTTGTTTTCTCCTCAGGATGAATGGTTCTAGCTTTGGTGGTTCCCTGAACTTTCCTTTAGTGTCATCACTGGGTCCAACTTGTCAGACTTTATGACCAAATACTTGAAAGAGTAAATATATTCTTGACAGCCTCAGATGTACTTTGTTGTTAATGCAAATTATGCTAGCATGCTGGTGAACATGCTAAACAGTATACCTGCAAAATAACATTGTTGTTGTTAGTATTGTTAGCATTTTGCCATGCTGACATTAGCCTTTACTTCAAAGCAACACCCTGTGGTAGGCGTAGTACGGATAAACAGAGCTGCTAGCATAGACCCTTAGTCTTGTTTAAACTGTTAAAATGTTAAACTCAGTTTACTAGTAATGGGGAGTCGGCAACTAGACAATTTATACATTGTCCCCTGTGTCTCTGAAGGAGCTTTGTCAGGTCTTTTTTTTAAGTTATTCTTTGAGCGTTTTGTATTGCGTTATGTATGCAGTAAAGGGTCTAGCCAGCCGTCGAACCGGGGACCTACCTGCTCAGGGCTCAGTGTGCCTGTATGGTATGCGCCCCAACCACTCGCCAATCCGGACGCCCTGAGATTTGTCAGGTCTTACAAAGTTATCCAAAACATAGTGGTATATATACTTACTTTAATAGTATAAAATATCTAGTAGAAATATACTGAAGCATTATGGGAAGTGTAGGATCTAGAGTTGTTGGAGTTTGACCCATATTAGTGACTAGGGTTTAGGATTACTTTGGTGAGTGCCTCAAGCTGCTACACTAAGTTGCTGAAGTAGTTCATAGTAACAACTGCCAGGAAATCAGTCTAAAACTCATGCAATGCTTTGGAAATGGTGGGAAGTAATGTAAATAATGTGTCAATTATAGATAATGGGCTCGAACATGCAAAACCCCCAATATTGTCTTTCAACATATTAATCAGATGTTGATCCTGACATCATAATTTGCAGCAGATCACATGACAGCATACTGATGTGTAGCATACTTTTTTCTGGTTCTGAACCAGCAATACAAAGCACGTGATCATCTGTCAGATTTTCAGTAATGCTTCATCCCTGGCTTCATAACCACCGGACAGAAGGACCTCTCTTTCCTTCATTTCCCTCTGTTCTGCGCTAATCCGTTTCATGGGACTCCTATACATTTTATAGATCTACTGTAGCTCGGTTTCCTCACTACATGCTGCCTTGACAGCTTTAGATCTGTAGGTTGTGTTACGCAATCAGCATTAGATGTAATCTCCCGATATATGTGTTTGGGGTCAATCCACAGGGAGGGCAAGAGGAACTATCTCTATAATGTTACATAATTCATTATATAAGAGTATAGAGTATGTGTTCATTTAGTGATTTGCTGTTTCTGGTCCTGTCCGTCACCAGCATCATGCTGCAGGTACACCTCTGACTCTGAAGTGATCCAATCTTAGATTTTATGAGAATCCTCCTTTTCACTGAGCTATAAAGTAAACGGTGTGAATACGGAGTTGAGAAGGAAACCATATTTTATGTTGCACCATAATGTGACTGTTGCTTCTGTGCCTCTCCTGATCATTTGCAAGAAGTCTGCTTGGTTTCATGCATGTGTTTTTCCCCTTCACTTAATCAGTCTGCTTATTTCTGTTGGTTGCATGTGTCATTTTTCTTTTCCTTTGCCTCCCTTTGCACGCGGGTCTTTGGCGTACAGCTCCACCCTCCCCGCATGCCTAAAGAGCAAGCCGCCCCACAGACAAGAGGGGGTTAGCACCATGCCTCGTAGCATCCTTACACACCGTGTGCTCAGGTTCACTGATGAGGTCACGGTTAGGTAAGCACACACCCACTTCACACACCATCTCCTCCTTTGTCCCCTTACCACCCAGAACATTTTCTTACTTTCTTTTTTGTCTGACAACACATAGCAGAGGCTTAAGCATGTACCGGCAAGTGCAGAGCATAAAAACACAGTTAACTCCTAAGCCATCCTTGTAAAGCATTAGTCCTGAAAACATTATGTGCCATGTCATGCGATGGCACGGAGCCAGCCATCTGTTGAAAGTACCTGTTGTCACAGAGCAGCATGACGTGACAAACATACAGCTTTGAGTGTATGCAGCAGAGAGTAGATGTGAACACTGGCTGCTTTCCTCTCCTCTTCACTCATTCAGTCCCTCGCACAAACACTTACAAGCAGTCCCCTCTCCCACTTACACCTGGTTCCCATGGCAACTCACCAACCTTCCATCTGAGTGGTCTCGCAGTGTATGGCCGCGAGGAGTGACTGGCTATGATAAATGGAGATACAGCATCAGAGCCATTACATGTTACTGCACTGTCTGATGGCCTCTTCTCTCTTTGTCTCCTCTTTTTTTAACATTACGTTTCATTATCCTCCTTTTTTTGACTCTCTGTATTTTCTTTTTTCTACCTCCCACTCATCACCCTTTTGTTCTCCCACGTTATTCTTAATCTCGTCTTCCTGGCTCCCCTCCTTACATCTTCTGTCCTTGTACATCCTGTCTCCATCTCTATCTCTTTCTCCTCTTTATCTCTCTCTCTGCTGCTGTGTTGTGGCGGTGCAGTGACCTGCAGCCGTCGTTGGACAGAGTGAGGAGTGCCAGCACCACTTGTCTGAGACCAGACACCAACTTTCACTCCCCTGACAGAGACAGGTATAAAAAGAAAATGAACACACGTTTTGCACAAGATACTGATATTTCATTTTAGAATTGAATACACAATCAAAAATCATAGACTTCAGTCATAGCTTTCAGATCCGTATTTTCTTCATTACATGATAGAATCAGTCAACATTTTGGGTTTACTATGCTGCATGTCTTCACGCCAGTTCATGTCATTTGTCCCTTTCATACATGACTGAATTTGCCATTGCATACTTTCATTAAAAAAAAAAAAACATCTCCCTGATGTTTAGAATTTGAAATATCTTTAATTTGAAGACAGAAAATAAGCCAGCAGGTTTCAGATTTAGTACTGTATACTTTACTGGCAAAAAATTTAAATAATAACAGACAATGTTACAGAGCCGAAGAATGTATTGTACATAGACCCCAGGAACGTTAGCTGAGTGCAGTTTTCAGTCTGACATTTTTGGAAATGCGCTTATTCATTTTCTTCAAGAGAGTTAGATGAGAAAATTTATACCACATTCATGTTTCTACACTAAATATGAAGCTACAGCCATCGTATGGTTAGCTTAGCTCAGCACAGAGACCAGAAACGGAGGGAAACAGTCTCACTCTGTCCATAGTTAACAAAAATCCTGGCATCTGGCTGTGAGCAGTCCCTCACATAACCTCCCATAAATCCACACATTGTTACTTTTATGTCTGTACGGTAAAATCCAAATGTGAAGCTGCTGCTAATGTTAGCTTACTGTAGCTCAACACAAAAACAAAAAGGTTAAAAAAAAATCTGCCTCTTGGTTTTATAGTTAGGTTTTAGTATGGCTTAAACAAATGAAATATAACGTGTTAATTTGTGAATTAAAAAAGTGCTGATAGGCAGATTTTGTGAACGGAGCCAGGGTAGCTGTTTCCCTCTTTTCCTAAGCTAAGCTAATAGGCTGGAGCTTCATATTTACTGTAGGCCTACAGACATAAGTATGGAATTAATCTTAACATCTAATTCTCAACAAGATTGAGAAATGTATCTCCCCAAATACGGCATAGACTGCATTATCTAAGTTCCAGTATAGTTTAACATCTTGTTAGCTTGTTAATTCATAAGTGCTTGTAATGCTCAGATTTCTGACATGACTTCAAATGTTTGACAAGTCAAATAAAGGTGATTTTTTTTGGCTGATATTATGCAATAGAAATTTTAAGAGAATTCTCAATTGCCCCAGATAGCAAAATTAAACTTCTGGCCCAATTTATGCCCAAACCCAAGTCTGGCTCATATGCTTCCACATCTGGGTAGATTCCGGCTGTTATCATCCGGTGTTTTCTAACAGCGGCAAGAATTTCTGTGTGTGTGTGTGTATGCCAGAACTCGTCCAGATGTGGAAGTAGCATCTGACAATCATGCTTTATATGGGCCAGATTCGGGGCTGTAGAACTGGGCCAGAAGAGAACAAGTATTGGGCCCAAAATATGGGCCGGATTATTTTGCTCCTTGGGTCACAGCCTTGACTGTCTCTTTACTCATTAACAACTTTACCTGCTGGGTTGTATTTTTTTCCAACCCACTTTAGATTAAAACACCCCCCCCCTCCGCCTCGGTTAGCATTAGGAATAGGTGTCAAGGTTTTTGTCATACGGGTGTGGTTTCATCTAAATTGGGTTGGAAAATCGATGGACGCCTTTTGATGTTCCCACCTCAAAATGCTCCTCCTCCCACCCCTCCGCTCCTCTAGGTGCTCCAACTCTTTGCCCCGCAAGACTCCCCCAAGTCCCAGGATCTTAGTAGAACATGTGGCCCCTGAGGAAGACAGGTATACCAAGCCTGCTCCCCTCTGCTGTGCAAACACTGCGCTACAGCTCTGCTCGCCTGCTTACCTTCCTGACCCCACATCTCGAAGCCTGTCCTGTAGCCTAGAACTCACCCTGCAGACGATAGCGTTGCACAGACCTTGCGATCAGCACTGTTTCTTTTCCTTTTCCTGTAAATATTTGTGGTCTAAGGCTGTGTAATCCCTCCTTTATTCTGCTGCACCTGCTCTTTCTGCTGAGCACCTGTTCTGAATTTCCCCACTTCTCTGGCTTGAAAGCACTTCCTTTGCTGTAACATTGTTTCTGGCGGTTAAAAAAAAAAAAGTTTATTGAATGTGCAGTTCACAGCTTGCTGTTACAAACCACTAAAACCAAACCTTTAAGTGTCAGTTTGAGGTTTTAACATAATGTCCAATTTACATTATAAACCAATATTCAGTTTTACCATTCTGTGGCACGTCATTCTCCATATCGTGTTTGTCTTTCTTCCTCTCTCTCTCTCTCTCTCTGTCTGTGTGGTTGCTGTGTGCCGAAACAGGCAGTGTAGCAATTCATCAAGTCCAAACTGTCACAGGGGCAGCAAAAAAAGCCTGGAGGGGGACAGGTAAGATCATTCATTCATTTATTCATTCACTCACTCACTCACCTTATTTCATCTCCTCTCATTATTGTCACCCACTTCTCCACTCTCTGGAGGGATGATGTCTGACCATGTGGTTGTCAAATTTGGAATATTGACTTGGACTTATGCAGTAAGGAGCCTTGAATGTCCTCTGAAAATCACATTGCTTCCTCAGAACATTGTGAAGAAACACACGGGCTATGAACAGCTCACAATTAAGTATTTATCATTAGATCATTAGTGATAAGGCTTTTTTTTTTCCCCACGGTAATGGAAATCTGAAAATATTTCCTTGTGTGTTGATGTAGGGTTCACCAACTCCTTTTTGATTGATTGACTTTAACCACAGCAGCTGCTGCACACTGTCTGTGCTTTTCATCATGGACCCCTGCACAGCTTCAACAGTTTTACACATAGAGCCCAGAAAAGACCGACGTTGTATTATTTTCCATTTGATTTAATTTTATTGTATTTATATGGTTTTATGTTTTCATTTCTTTTTATTTCCTGGTGCCTGCCCACTGATGGCAGTCGTATCCAGCCCACCTCTATCCTGAGGGGCAGTAGGGGGAGAGGGGGCCCACTGAGGCCTTTTGGCCAGACAGCCCTGGCTGGGTCCTGCCCAAACTCGCCACGGCTAGACAGGTGCATGCTACTGCCAGTGCTACACCTCTGCTCCCTTGTGTGTTGACTTCTCCTCCATTACACTGAGTGTGGTAACACTGTATGCACAGGTACCACAGGTACAGTGCATTCAAGAAGTCTTTAGACCCCTTCACTTTTTTCAAATTTTGTTGTGTTGCAGCCTTATGCTAAAATCCTTTAAATACATTTTTTCCCTCATCAATCTACTCCCAATACATCTAAATTACGAAGCAAAAACAGAATTTTAGAACCTCTTTGAAAATGTGTTAAAAAGGAAAAACTGAAATATCACATTGACAAATATTCAGGCACTTGGCTATGACTCTTGAAATTTAGCTCAGGTTCCTCATTGTCTCTTAAACATCTTTGAGCTGCTTCTACACCTTGACTGGAGTCCACCTGTGGTAAATTCACTTGATTGGATATGTTTTGGAAAGGCACACACCTGTCTATATAAGACAGACAAACAAACAAAGCCATGAGGAGAAAGGAACTGACCTCCAGAGCTCAGAGACAGGATTGTGTTGAGGCTCAGATCTGGGGAAGGCTACAAATGTTTTGCTACACTGAAGGTTCCCAGCACAGTGGCTTCATAATTTTACATGTAAGAAGTTTGGAACAACCAGGACTCTTGTTGTGTTTCACCCAAGAAGTCGCCGCAAAGATGCTTCAGCTAAATACTGAGTAAAGAGTCTGAAGACTTATGTCATGTTTTTCCTTTTTAATAAATTAGCAAAATCCCTAAAATCCTGTTTTTGCTTTGTCATTATGGGCTATTAGGAAAGACATGAAATGATTTTAGCATAGGTTTGCAACATAACAAATTTGAAAAAGTGAAGGGGTCTGAACACTTTCCAAATGAAGTGTATATGTCATATCTCAAGAAGCAAAAATCATATTCATTCTGAGAGGTAAACTGGTTCATGTGATTTTTTTTTTTTAATTTGTGGCTCAATCAGGAACAAACAAAGTCGTGCATGTAAAAGGATGTAAAAAAAAAAAAGTTCCATCTCATCATTACAATACAGTAACTGGAATATGTATATATACTGTGATACAATGCGTACTATATAAACACGTTCAGTGGCACCTTCTGTACTTCTCCCACACCTTTGATGACTCTGATTCACTCCTCTCCCAACTTGACCTTTGATACTGACTATCAGTTTGTTGCTTCTATGATTTTGTTTTTAGCCTCACTTCAATTAGTGATGAATACAGTTATAACAGTACGTTGTTGTGTGGCCTTTCCTCTCTCCTTGTGTCTTTATGTTCCTGAATGTCAGAGCACACCCTCATGGCAGCCCCTCTCCGCCAACGGGGACTCGCAGGGGCAGGCAGCTGCCGCAGCTCCCTGCCAAGAGCAGCAGCATAGAGCAAGGTATGTTGTGTGTGAGCCATGAATTCATGTCTTTTAACCTGACAAAAACAAAGAACCTATTCTCATGCTGAGTTAGTTTCTGAAAATTATTTAGGTTCACTGATGGAGAGCTCAAACTGAGATAAAGCTGTTCCGTCTTTAAAAACAAAGCACAAAGTATGAATGAAATAAATACAGCAAGTCAGTGACACTACCTTTTGCTTCCTGAGCTTTGTGTCTTTTTGACTAAAACATAGAAAATTGAATTCATTTTAATAACAGATTGTCAGTTTTGAATCAAAAGCTTATTTTAAATTAGAATTTTTCCTCCCAAAAACAGAGAAAAAGAGTAGTTTTTGGTGGGAGGTGTTTGACTGACAATACTATTATGGATGTTCAGCTCAGACAAGCTCTACCAGTTACATGGTCAAGGCACCCTATGCAGTGACATAAAAGTGTGTATCAACATTTTTATCAGCTCACTGTTTGGAGAGTGTTGAGGTATGATTGCACAAATCTGCCTTTATTAACCATAATGATTCATCTTCCCTGCAGCATTCCCAATTCCTGGGAACAGCTTTTTAAAAAATACCCTTTCTTTCTTGTCATAGCTGGTTTAGCTGCCAGATGGGTGGGGTTTGCTAAATAGGATTAATGTATAGACGGACTCAGTCTTTAGTCTAGCCCCTCTTTCCTAAACCCAACCTAGAAGCAAAGAAGCTTTTTTTCCCAGGTTGACTGTGAGAATTTCTGTCCCAGACCCTCCATGCGTCCATTATGTGAGCAGCTGATGTATCAGCACACATCATGCTCCATCTAGTGTCAAAAACCTGATCCTGCATTCTCCAGTTATTCCATGTAATCTCTCTTATTGGGAACACACCAGTGTTTCTGATTTCTTATTCTGGTTTTTGTTTTCTTTTTCTGATTTTCTCTTTCGTTCTCTTACTCTTTTATTTGTCTTTTTCGCTTCAGCCCTTGCAGTAGAGGAGCGAACCCGACAGCTGCAGATGAAAGTACATTCCTATCGGCCTTCAGCCTCCCACGACCCTGAGACGGACCTCAAGACCAAACGGGAGGTCAGCGTCCGTGTCCTTCTTTGGTTCCCTACCTCCTCCTCCTCTTGCACTTGAAATAAATGATACATGTCTATTTTTATAACCTTAGTTTGAGCAAAATCATAATTTCTCTCCCATCATCCTCCACCTCTTCATCTCCGTCTGTAGATGTTCCGAGATCAGAGGCCAAGCAGTGACGTGTCAGCCAGATCATCAGACAGCGATATGAGCGATGTGTCCGCCCTCTCCCGTGCCAGCAGTGCCTCCCGCCTCAGTAGCACCAGCTACATGTCTATCCAATCAGAACGACCCGGGGGGCGACTCAGGTCAGTCCTCATTGGCCAGTAATACTTTGTGTTCGGGTTAGATGTAATGGGTGCTGTGGATGTCGGTCAGTTCACCCGATTTTGAAATAGGCCTAAATGTTTGGGTAATTGAGATTATGTTTGTTTTCTGCATGCTAATCGCTGTGTCTCTGTTTTATTTATGCATGCCTGCATGTTTCTGCATGCCCTCTCTCCTCTGTCCACACATCTCACACAAAACATGGATACATAAAACGAATGGTGGGAATCAAAACAAATTGAAAAAACTCAGATCCAAGTCATTAGAGGAGGAGAAGAAAGACAGGAGGATCTCATGGGGGGTGAACGGGGAGGAGGAGAGGAGGAGGGCAGCGGGAAAGAGACGATTCTCTGAGGAATTGAAGCGCAGAAGACACACTGTAGCAGGAGACACAAGGGAGTCCAGGTAAAGAGCATAAGATCCCGAATGTTGAATTCACTGATGATGACAGATAATCCATCCTCTCACTGTACGACCAGGTCTGGATCCCCAGGTTAGAATCCCTAAACCCCCAAGACAACAGCAGAAACTTTTGATGATAGCCATTATAGGCAGGTCCTTATTGATCTCTGTAGGGAAATTATCTTCTGTTTTGCTTGCGCCTTCCAAAGGAGGGTTACAGGCTGTCAAGCAGTGCCCCTTGAACTTATTGGGGGGTTCAGGGTCTTACTGAAGTGCACTAGAGGATGACGCTCACTGACACAGAGATGAGCTTAAATCTTCTGGCTGCAGAGTGGTGCTCCTGCTCATCTCTACTTATTGATGAGGTGCAGTTAGTCTCATTCATATGAAAACATCTGGCTGTGACGAGTAATTTGATTTAAATAGGGACTGTGGATGTCTGAGTCCCAAACAAGGCTAAAGGGGCACTCTGCTGAATTTACATATGAGGACCATTTTACTTGTCGTGAGCAGTATTTTCTGTCAGTCGTGAGGAGTTTTTATTAAGTTTGATAAAAATGTATCTGATTATGTTCTAATATCAAGGTTTTTAGAACCTGGGTTTACTGCAAATTTTTGCATAAAACATCTGTTACAAATGGGGTGATGGAATTTGAAAGATGTTGGATGTTCAGAGGCAGTGAGAGTCTAATGAAAGATGCACATACACATTACATTATGGGAAATTTAGGATTTAGGATTTTTGAAGCTTGAATGATACAAGGATGAAAATGAACATATCTCACCCTCTGCTGCATTGATTTTTGACTATCCTTTTAAAACCTATATCCCACATTTACGGCAACTTTAAATCACTGCAAAACCTCTCAAGAAAATTAGTTTTTAAATAGGATTGTTGTCAACAAGACAAAATTAAACTTAAACTAGAGTAAAATTATTAAGTCATAGGGGGAAAAATCCACTTTAATTGTTTTCAGCTCAGTCTTTTCCTTTTTATGAGGCAAACAGATCTCAGGTACAGTCCAAGCTCTCCATTAGAAATCTGTTAATAAATGAATGTAAATTTAGAAAAAGAATCATCAGACCTTTGAACCACAACTTGCTTACAGAAATATTAATATAATTTTAAATGAAATAACAACATCAACAAAAAAAACTGTAGCAAAAAATCCCATGTTCTCTTCTTGCACACAAACACACACAAAGCTCGTTCCTGGCTGACCAGTAGCAGTGTGCTGACAGGGACAAACGACCCTATCCCAGTGGTCCTTGGTGGGCCAGGTGGTGATGTAGTGCAGCTTATTAGCCGGCTAATGTTTTGAGGTCTGAGAGCAGCAGAGAGGAGGGGGGGTTTTTGCCACAGATCAATCCAAATAGAGCATATTAAAAGCAGAGCCCCGCAGCCTTTGACACACTTTCATCCCAAAGGTGTTTGCTGGTGTTAAGGTCGGAGCTCTGAGAAGACGAAGAGAAAGCGATTGCTTTATGGACCTCACTTTGTCCTTCACCAAACTTAATCATCTAAAAGATTATCGCATGATTTATGATTAGCCTTACATCAAACATTGCCACAGACAGCCCTGTCCACATACTTTTGTCATGTAGTGTACACTCAAGGTAAGAAGAGTCTGCAGGGTCCTCTTCGATCTTCATGTTATTTCAAGCAAAAAGTGTAAGATCATCTCCATGTTTTATATGTGAAAAAATTGTTTTAATATACTGAATATTAGCAAAATAATAAGTTCATGCTTCCAGTTGTTCATATGAGGGAAAATGTTAATACACTTACATCTATGACTACAGTATTTATGTACAGACAGATTCAGGGGAATGAAGAGAGAGATGAACAGTATGGCTCTGGGTGTGCAGATGCTGGCGTCAGATCAGCTCTTAGGTGAGAGGGGAGTATGTGTGTGTTTTGTAATGAGGCTGCGATGAAACAGTGAAAACACAGGTTGGAATTCCAAACACAGACAATGGAGTGTGTGTCCATTTATAAAAACTGGTCAGTCTGTTTTAGAAGGCCTATAATAAAGCTTATCTATTATTCAGACCAAGGGTCAGTTTTTAGAGAGACAGGGGGTATGAATTAGTAATCCAGTGATGGATGGCTGGCCTCAGGTCAGTTTTCACTCGGAGTGGGATATTAATATCTGTATTCATTGGATACTCTCACTTTGCTTCAGGCCAGTTTTATGATCAGTTGGAGAAATGACTGAGTACATACAGAGGAGTGGAGACAGAGGTGGTGTGAGGTCACACAGATCAAACCCTTTGCTCAACCTTTTCCCCCTGCTTAATATTTCTAATCAATTTCAAATAATTCACTGGATGCCACACATGTCAATCATTTGCTTTTTTGCATAAATAGAGAAATCATATTTGGTGCCTTACTTTGTTTGCATTGATTTACTGATATCTGTATATTTCTGAAATCACATAATGGTGAGTATATATATGTGTGGTTACAGTCCAAATTTCAAAGAAAAACAAATCTCAAGATTTTCAGCCAGAAGCAGAAAATCATCATTTTACATTTTGTACAATAGTGTTTGTGATTTCTGTTATATGTGGCCCTTGTTTCCTGTGTGTGTTTATGTGTGTTTGTGCATCCCCCTCCACTGCATGTCTCAGATCCCTCCTTGCATGCATCCTGTGCTGTGACTGCCTGGACCCTCTCCGCCCTCCAGACCTGGATCCTCCCCTCCCAACCTACCCCTCTGCTGCACGCCCCTCCCTAACACCCCTGCAGAGGACGGTGGAAAGGCCTCAAACCACCCTGCCCCTTCCCAGCCCTTCCCTGGCTCCCCTGGGCCATTGGTCTGTAATTGTCAGGGGCCCGCAGGGAGTGGAGAGTACGGATGATAGGGGTAGCGTAGCTGGGCTTTCTTGCAGCACCATGACCACCTCTGAGGGAATGGACATGCGGCGGCTCCTGCGAGCCCCTAGGAGGCAGCACCGAACACTGGGCAGCCTCTGCTCTGGTGTAGTGGCTCGTTTGAGAAGAATGAACTTTAATACATGATATAATTATCAGCTGTGGACTGCGAGAACATTTTATTCTATTATTTGATTTTAAACAGGATGGTCTCTTAAGATCTAAATCTCTTTTTCTCGAGAGTTGTGGTACAAGTGACACAATTATGTTACACCGAACATCAAAGCTCCAAATGCTGTGTTGGTTTTAGCTGTACTCTATGTTTACTTTGTCTTAGTCTCAGTTATTCAGTGGAATATCGCATCATCATTTCCCTTCTATGGGACTCCAGATGTTTACTCATCTGTTGTTTGATTGACTAACTGTTTTATTAAACATCTTTCAACTACTGTAAGTTTGAACTGTTACAGTTATCATCCTCTACCACCTTTTATCAGCCAGGCTGTTTTTGTGTCCTACTAAAACTCAGGTACAGTGTAGAGGAAGTCACAGAGACCATGATCACTTCCTCTCTTCATTACAACAGATCACAATGTCACGCAGTGTTTTCTTTCTCCAGTCGGCAGATGCGATCGTCGATGGGCCGCAGCATGCTGAAGAGCTCCAGCGTGAGCGGAGAGATCTACACCCAGGAGCGCACCGACGGCAGCCAATCAGACACGGCGCTGGGCATGGTGGGTGGCGGCAGCAAGAAGAGACGCTCCAGCCTCAGTGCGCGGGTGGTGGCCATTGTTGGCAACCGTCGCAGCCGCAGCACTTCACAGATCAGCGGCCCTGGTGAGTTGCCATGGAAACCCCGGTGTCTGTACATCGCACTGGTTATGTGTGATATCAACGTGGCCAGTTTTCTATAAAAAAAAAATGTGATACACACTAAAATATTACACATATTTAGGGACATATTTGTGTGATTTTCCTGTGTCTCAGTCTGTCACACTGGTTGCTAATGGCTGATGATGGTGGTAGACAGAAACAACATTCGGCGAAGCCCTGGGATGGAGCTAATAGGGGCTCTTGGGTGTGTAGACTGAAGTAATGGACGACTTTCTGTTTAATATCAGCTCTCTCAAAAACATAAGGCCTTAGCTTAACCTTCACTAAACCTAATCCTGAAATACACACATTTAAACTAAAGCTGTTTGACTTGCTTCAACCTTACAATTAACTACTCTTGTCATATAATGAATAAATTTACCGTATTTGCCAATAAATAATCCTTCTATGGTAGCGCAGTGCAATGGTTACATATATTTGGTTGTTTTCAACTTGACAGTCAGGACAGGAGAGTGCACATGCAACCTTTCAGACCGAAGATACTGAAGAGATCAGAGCCAAAATCAGTTTGACAAAAGATGCACAAACATGTTTTTGATGTAGAAATATAGAGGAGAGAGAGGACATACAGAGATCAATCTTCATTTGAGAACCTAAAAAGTCTTGCGGTACTCACCCCCATTCTGCTGAAGTGCTTTGAGAAGCTGGTTCAAGTTGGTTGGTACATCAAAGACAGCATCCCAGCCAGCCAGACTCTCACCAGCCTGCATTCAGAACGAGCAGATCCAGAGACGATGCCTTCTCCACTGCCGTTTGTTTGTTGATGTCTGATCAGCATTCGAAACAATCTCCCCCATGAAACATACGCTCTGCAGCTGGATGTTTTGGACTTCTTCACAAACAGACCCCAGACAGTTCAGATTGGCAGTCACACCTCAAGCACTCTAGTGCTCAACACGCTCAGCCCCCTCCTGTTCACGCTGTACACCCATGAATTTTTGTCCTTTGGTGGTGTAGCACAGCGTATTTACTAGCAGGGCACTGATGAGTTCTGTCTGGCAGCAGGATGATTGTTAATCAGGCAGATTACACACGCATGAGTAATGACAGCGTTTGTGTACGTATCTGGCCTGCTCTGTGATATTTGGATGACAAAGCCTGATCAGCGTCTCGGTGACACTGAAGTTTATCAGGAGCGGTTAGTGTAGGGTGCTGATCTTTTGTTTTTACCCTGGACCATAATTTTCATACACAACCTGATTTGTTCACTTGATTCGTTAACTTATTTTACCATACAGCTTTACATACTTTCAGTTTGCCTGCAGGACTAATCTCCAAAACAACACAATTGTCCTGCTACATTCAAAATTTCACAACATGTAATCAAAACGATTTGTTCTTAGGACCAGCCTGTACTCAAGAACCACAAATTGCAAGTGTCTTTTTCTTCAGTAAAGGCCAAACCTCTGCTGCCCCAGTGCTCGTTGTAAAAACAAACAACTAAATAATACGTTTCAGAGAGTTTCAGAGCATCGTGGCCAGCTGAGAGCCCCTCGCGGCTCAGCTCCCACTCACACAAGAAGAAGAGTCTGGCTGGTCTGAGTCCGGCATCCACTTTTACCACGGGGTGGTGTAAGACTCATGGTAAAAGTAGACATAAAAAGCTATTAAAGAACAGTGGGCCTAAGGGGTTCTCTTACCCTCTCTCCCTGATGTAGAGAGGAGAGAGAGGAAGTAGAGATAGTATAGAGATCAACCTTAATCTGAGTGTTTTCTGTTCTTGATGGATGAGAGCAAACGCAGGTAAGGGACACTTCTGTTGAGTTTTTAAACTTTATTATTTTAGTGTGATTAGGAGGTAATAGGTAGCTAACAGTTTATGGTAGGTTACATACATCACAGGTTTTTTGTTGTATGGAAAGAGTCAGCTCATGCCTCAGTCAGCATATACAAGAGAGGATGGCAGTCTCAGAGATGCAGCTTCGTTTTTCTCTTTGCACTATAGGAGCCAATACTATGAGTCGAACGGTGGACGCACCCCAGTCCGAGATGCCACACAGTGTTGGGGTTATTTTTTCTACCCAACAATTTCCTGTTTACTACTGATTGCTGGATTCTGCAGGACATTTGTGCGACTTTGGCCGTGCCCCAGAAAGAGTCCTCACCTGGATCTGTGGAATATTTTGTAGTGAACCACCAATGGTTCGAGGAAGTAATAAGTGTTCTGGAAATGAGTCTTTTTCAGAATAATATTTTTTTAATATTTAAATCTTTCTCTCAATCCTGCTACTCTCTGCTTATCTAAATCAAACGTTCTGTGGGGCAGAAGTGGTGTAAAGGGGCACTCCACAATACAAACAACTGTTATATCAAACACACCTCAGAGCTCTTTGACCTAAAACCCACCACTAGGGCAAGAAATACCCTGGACAATGTTTATTCAAATGTTTAAACATTACCATGTTTCAGACCATATTTCCCTGCTTCTTCTACCACCTTACTCTTAGCTGATAAAAAATGTCAAACCATCAGTAAAAACCGTTACAGCAGCTCTACAGGACTGTTTAGAGTGCACAGACTGGCACATGTTCAGAGATGCTGCCACCCAGATGTCTTGATGATTATGCGATCACAAAAAAAATAAAATCATTCCTCAACCAGAAAGCCTGGGCTCTATCAGATGGTCAGCTGTTAAGACACAAGAGCTTCAGAATAAGGCTGGCATCGGGGGCGAAGCGGAGACATCAGCAGAGAGCACCTCCAGAGGAGCTGCCACTGTCAGTATCCACAGTAGATGTGAGAGTGGATATGAGTAAAGCTGCTGGGCCTGATACTGAAGACCTGTACGAAAAACGTGCCAATCAGGTTGCTGATGATATTAGGCCTACTGACATTTATATCACTTTCATATTAAAGTGTTTCCACCTGCACAGCCACAATCAATCTTAGCACTCTGGGCTTGAGTACCACCCCTCTGCATCTGAACACTGGACTTCCTCACAAACAGACCCCAGACAGTTCAGATTGGCAGACACAACTCATGCACTCTGGTGCTCAACACCAGAGTCCCTCAGGGCTGTGTGCTCGGGCCCCTCCTGTTCACACTCTACACCCACGACTGCATTACCAGACATGGAGAGAACTCCCTTGTCAAGTTTGTGGACAACACCACCATCATCAGCCAGACTACAGAGAATTCCTATCCAGAGGAAGTCAACAGTCTTGCAGAGTGGTGCACAGAGAACAACCTACTTCTCAATATCGATGCAACCAAGGTGCTACATCAGTGGAGCTGAGGTGGATCAGATATAAGTTCCTGGGAATCCACACCGAAGAGAACCTGTCATGGTCATCACACATCTCTACTCTACTCATGTGAAGTTCTTGTTAACTTTTATGAGGAGCAATAGAAAGCATCACAAACTGGGATGTGCAGGGCCCAGGACATGAAGGCTCTGCAGCAGTTGATTAAAACTGCCCAGAACATCATCAGTACCATCTACGGGGCATCAGTGATATCAGTGAGGTGAGGTGCCTGCACAGAGCCCAAAGGACACTAAAAGACAATACCCACCCGAGAACACAGCCTGTTCACCCTGCCGCCGTCTGGCAAGAAGGATCCGCTGCCGTACCCCCAGACGCTGGAGCAGTTTCTTTCCTCAGGCTGTGAGACGACTGAAATCACCCTCCACACTCTACCATGAACATAGCTGATTATTTATTCATTCATTTATGTAACTTTTGTTTTCATGAAGGGACTACATCTGAAATTTTGTTATACAATCTTGTGTTGCATAATGATCATTAAATTGAAGCTTGAATCTTGAATGTAAAATATTTTGTGGTTCAAAAACAACCCTGAGAGCTACAGAAAGTTTCTGTTACAAACTGGGGTTGTGGAGTTTTGAGGATGTGGTTGTTTGCAAGGTAGAATGGGTCTAGGAAAAGCTGCTTTTTAGATGCATTGTAGGAAATGTAAGATCCTGATTTTGACACATACCAGTGACTGAAAGTCAGGATATCATGGAGAATAAGGGTTAAAAGAAATTGCTCTTTTAATGCTCTGTGATTTGCCATGTTCTAAATTAAACATTTTGAGGCAAATCAAAAGCTCAAAAGAAACATTTGACATTTGGGAAATATGTTTATTTGCTTTCCTGCCAAGAATTAGATGGGATGATTGACACCACTCCCCTGTAATGGTTGCAAATTTTCTCCAAACTTCACGTTTTGTCAGGTCAAGCTGATGGAGATACGACAGGGATTAAAATGTGTCCACTTAATTTTGTGAGTCAGTGTTGCAGCATTTCTTTTTTTCCACTACTTTTGTACTCACATGTACCCTGAAGTGAATTAGCACAGCACAGGGTCAAAATAAATAAAGGTGAAAAATAACTACAGCAGCGTCTCTGACTACATCTTTGTGATTTTTCCCCGTGTTTCTTGTTTCACCCAGAGGGGAAGAGTAAGAAGGAGAAGGGTGCACCCATCCAGAGGAGCACAGAGACTGGGATGGCAGTGGAGCTGACCAGGAACATGAGCCGCCAGCCCAGCAGAGAGTCCAACAATGGCAGCATGAACAGCTACAACTCTGAGGGAAAGTCAGTAAACCATTCTCTTCCTGTTTTGATTACTCTCCCTGAACCATCTACACACTCTCTGCATCTCTCTCCGCTGGTTTCAAACTGCAAGTTTTACATTGCTAAAGCGACTATAGCTTCAAATTAATTGCTGTCCCATCCGACTATGACACCTTTAACATAATATGGATGTGACAGTGAAGTTTGTGTGCTGACATGTTCAACATATCCAGGCAGAGACTTCCATTTCTGCCTGCATGTGTCAGGTGACTGACAGTAAACAGTGTAATACTGGATATGAACAGACTGTTAAAAAGCTCAACTTTGTCTGGTGTTTTCTGTGATGGATTATCTCACTTGGGCAGTTTTGGATGTTTTTCATGCTGTAAATAATGACAGGCAGCAAATGAGCACTGAAGTGTCAAACTATGCTGACTGTGTACAGACACCACCACAAGTGATGCAGAAGATAAAAACCACAAATCTAAGAATCAGATTTGATATTGAATATTGGTGGTACAATACACAGTACACAGTCACAAAATATTCATTTTGTCATCATACTTAAATCTATATTTCTTTGTTTTGTGTGTTAGTTTGATCTTCTCTGGCGTGAATCTGGGTGCCAGCAGTCAGTTCAGTGACTTCCTGGATGGTTTGGGACCAGCTCAGTTAGTGGGCAGGCAAACACTGGCTACTCCTGCTATCGGTAAGATACTGGTGATACTGGTGATACTGGTGATGCTAATGATACCGATGACATCTCTTCTCTTCTCTTCTCTTGTGTCACTTCTTTTCTGTTTAATCATTTTTTGTATTTTTCCTTTTCTCTTATCCCTTTTATTTATAATCTTGTTTTTCTGTAATATGTTTTCCTATTTCATGTTTTCATGTTTCTATAAGATAAGATAAGTGACATATTAGTGTGATAACTAGTACCAATTCAGCAGACTATAGTATTGTATTTATATGTAATCATAACAGTAATATACTATAACAGTGTAGTAATATAATGTATGATGAATAACAAGATGGGCCACACTGGTAGCTCACCTGGTTAAGTGTGTCCTTAAAACAGTGGCCCGGTTTGAATCTGGTCTGGGCCCTTTGCTGCGTGTCATCCTCGCTCTCTCTCTCTCTCTCTCTCTCTCTCTCTCTCTCTCTCTCTCTCTCCCTCTCTCCCTCTCTCCCTCTTCCTCTCCCTCCTGCCTTTCCTGTCTCTCTACACTGTCCCTGTAGATAAAGGTTGAAATATATAGAAAACATAATTTAAGAAAAACATAATAATAAGTAATAAGATATTACTATGTCTATATTAACATATAATATTGTATAACATAATGTATTAGTGTATAGTAAAATATTAAGATTGCAAATATTGACAAATCAGAGTGTTGTTATTGTTGTCACATATTCGAACCTCTGATCGTACTTTTTTATGAACCTGATGAAGCGCTGTGTGAAATGTGTTGCGGTCCTTGATCATATATATTTATGGCCTGAGTGTGCCGGCACTTCTAGGTTTATCTTTCCTGAAACTTTCAGCCATACACCACATGCCGTCATTGATCCCTTCTTGTTGTTTCTAAACTGATCATCCTCTTCTCATCTTCATCTGTCTCCCAGGTGACATCCAGATTGGTATGATGGAGAAAAAGGGTCAGCTGGAGGTGGAAGTCATCAGAGCTCGAGGACTCGTACAAAAGCCAGGATCCAAATCTCTCCCTGGTAAGCACTTGACCTACATTTAGATACTGAAGAGCAACTAATCCCTCTGTTTTTTTCACATTAGTATAAAATACACACCCTACATGCATTGTAATCCAGTACGTACACTCAGCCAAAGCTTGCACTGTGCTGTTCCTTTCCAGAACAAGCCGTGAGGTCTGATCTAGATTATATTGGCGAGGTGCTGTGTTCGCCACTAATGGCTTTTTTATTTCGTCTTCGTCTTCAGCTCCATATGTCAAGGTCTATCTGCTGAATAATGGAGCATACGTAGCCAAAAAGAAAACCAAGATTGCACGGAAAACACTTGACCCACTGTACCAGCAAGCACTGCTATTCGAGGAAAGCCCACAGGGTAAAGTCTTACAGGTGAGAATGAGATATGTTCCGTCATTAGAAAGTAAAATCTTTATTTCTAAATTCGATCATTTGTTTCAGCAGGAGGAAGTAGAGCTGAGTAATTTGAGAGAAATGGTTTTTCTTCCAGGTGATTGTTTGGGGAGACTACGGCCGCATGGATCACAAAAGCTTCATGGGAGTTGCACAAATCCTATTGGAGGAACTGGACTTATCAAGCACAGTCATTGGTTGGTACAAGTTGTTCCCACCATCCTCCTTGGTGGATCCGACACTTGCCTCCCTAACTCGGCGAGCCTCCCAGTCGTCGCTTGACAGCTCCTCCGGACCTCCGGGGGTTCGATCCTAGTGGACCAACAGCTCTACACCGCTCGGCGAGTAACAAACTCATGAAACATACAGTAGAGCGAGAGAGATTAAAAAAAAAATATATATATATATAGCGGAAATGTAGAACAACAACAATCAGAAACAGTCACAATGAGAAAGCTTTGTTGAGATCTGACAATCACTCCTGTTGCGGTTAATTTTGTCTGTTGTAGAAAGTGCCACATTTCAGTGTTTCATATCCATTCAATGAAAAATCTTATAGTTTTTCTCTGTGTATGCTGAAGAAGCAGGGCTGTCGACAGACAACAAGCAGTAGCTCTTGAGACGGGAGATGAAAAAGTGTCAGAGAATCAAAAATGAAGCAGGGTGGTTTTTAACCGAATCAACAATAGCAAAGAAATGTATGTAAGCATCGGAATGTATGGACTCGAGACAGAGGTAATCACCCTCCACACCTGCAGGTGGCTGCAGTGGCCTCCTCCAGAACCCCAACAGACTGCCGGCACGCCTGCCCCCGGGCAGGGTGCTCACACGTTGGAATTCAGTCTGGAAGCACAGGGCCTTCTTCTGGTGCCTCGACCTTGGAGCCACATCACTGGTCCCTCTCTCTGTCGAAAGATCCTCTTTTCAATATGTTTACCATGGCTGCTCTGAAGCCACACTGTTTTAGCGTGTTTGCTTTGTTGTTCATTTCTTTCCCTTTGTTACTACTGGCACAAAATGTTTTTACAGTGCGTAAAATGCTCATGATAATGTTGTCAGTCTGGTGTGTGCATGGAGAGAAAAAAACAAAACACAAGAGATAAAAAAAAAGGATATAAAAACTATTAAATGTCTGCAAGTGTTATGCAGGGGGGGTTGCTGGTGATGATAACACAGCTTAGATTTTTACACTTGACAGTGCGATTAGCGTGCAAAGTTGTTTTCCTTGTTCCACCTCTGGCAAATGTCCAGGCCAGTCGTCTTTGTATAGATGTATATTAGGCCTCTCAAGAGGTTGACCAATAAATGAAATTTATGTCACTTTGAAATATCACAAGGGTACAACATCACTGTAAAAAAAATTGAAAAGAGAAATCTTTGTTCACCTTCGCAAGAGCAAGATAGGACGGTCTAATTTTTCACATCTTTTGGGGAGTGCAGTCCCTCACCCCAGCACGTTTAAGGTTTTTATCCAACCCTTAGTTTACATTCTTTGAAATTTAAACACAAGCACAAGAGCTTGATTTTTTTACAACAAAAAGTCTAACTTTTTGAAAAAAACACGTAGTTAAAAAAAGAAAAAAAGTAACGTTCCCGTCACTGGTTCGGTTCATTTCTTTGTCTAGATATTAGGAAACGCACAAACAAACAGAAGAGAAGAATCGCTCACAGTTTCCCTTGTGCATCTCTGTGAATGTCAAAGTAACCAATCAGACTAATCTGTCAGGACACCAAACACCAATGCTCATCCTCCGTTTGGCCCGCAAACTCCTCTCACCAGGAAAGAGTTGGGGCCAGCATGACTTTGGAACCTGTTCCAAGCTGCATGCATATTTTTGTAAAACGAAACAGATACAGAAAAAAAGATACTGAACTAGATACGTGTGTTAGTTCCACATACTGTAGGGCCACTTGTATGTTGCATGCAGTTGTACAGTTTGCTCGTACTTGAATATTAAAGAGATAAAACCAAGAAACCGAAGCCATTCCCATTACGCAACGACATTTGAACTCAACTGCAGTCTATTCCACGTCCCTCAGTCCGGTGCTGAATGTCTCTCAAACTAAATCCCACAATTACATTGATGTCTTTCCTCGACCCTCTGGAAGATGTACTGTACTGTACAGTAGTACTGAGCAGACCTCACAGCCCCTCTTACTGTTATTCCACATCATAGTATACCTCCAAGGGGCTGAGATGATGTATGAATAAATATGTACAAATCAGATCCACTTATATGGAAATATGAATTATGTTTCAACATAATGATTTCAGATATGCTATCACATGAACTGTTAAATTATATAGAGAATAAATGCAGATGCACAGAGAGTCATACACTGTAAATACTCAGCAGCCACTCACTGGGTTTTCATTGGGTTGAGTGATAATTGCAAAGGGGCCAAGTTATATAATGAGCAGCGATTAATACATACGTTGGGGACCACATGCAGTGGGACAACACAAGGCCAGGGTCATAACCGGCTGAACTCAAACACACAGCCCCAAAAACGACAGGTCTGAACCACTGCTCCGAAAGTCATTGTCTGAACACTTCTCTGTGCTTCTAAACCAGTGTCTGAAACCCGGCCACGATCAGCCCCACTTCAGAAGAGTTGACTTTTCTTTTCATTGTCCGGTGAAGCTGGGTTTATTTTCCTTTTTTATTTTTTCTTTCTTTATTTTATTTTTGTCAGTATTAACAGGAAAAAAAATGCTGATTGTTTACAACTTCTGTGTTCCACTGAAACAAAAAGAAAATTAGAAAAAAGTAAAGCATTCACTGCAACATTTCTTGTTTGTATAACAGATGTGGCTCAAATGATGTGTATGTTTTATATTTAAAAAAAAAAAGTTCATTTTTATTATTTACAAATAAAAAGAATGTGTGGAAGAAAACTGACTCTGAACTCGCCTTCAATTCAATGTCTCTCAAGTCTTTTTTTTGTGTTTTGTGTGTGTGTGTGTGCGTGTGTGTCTGTGTGTGTGTTTAATTATACTCTCAGCCTGCATGACATGATGTCAAGAGTTCATATTGAAAAACTTTGGGATCTCTTGGTTCACTGGTACATCTCAGCAGAGAGGCACCATGTTCAACTTTAGATACACATTACAAATGTTTCACTGTTAACGCACAGATGAACGGCGAGATACACAGACATTAGCTACGTGGATCTGATGGATAGATTTCTGTTTTTCATATTGTAGCAAATTACTCATTGTTATATATGGAAATGAATTTGTATGAATAACTACAAATGAGCCAACCCAAATAATATTTATCAGAAAGCTACTCATTCATAATTTTAAAGACTGTATAAATAACTTTAATCAACTGTCAAACTTTTTTTAACCGTCTTGACAAACCTTCCCGCCAGCCTCGCCATGGCAGCCAGGCCCCCAGTTCCCTTTGTCATAGCATCAGGGGCCGCGGGTCGAGCCGTGCATTACAAACAGGCAGAAGGTAGGGAGAGACTGACTCAGCCAGTGGAGAAGAAAAAAACTGAATTCAATTCTCAACTTGCCTTTTTTATCCAGTTGTATTTGGCGTCAAATGTTATTTTTAGCTCTAGAAAGAGGTCCAGAGCTCGGTGACCTCAGCTACAGGCATGACAGTAACCATAAGAATAAAACAAGACCTAGAGCATGCTAACATGCTTATGTTTAGCAGGAATATTGCTTGTGTTTAGCATGTTACAATGCAAACATTTGCGAATTAGCACTAAATTCAAGTACAGCTGAGGTATATGGAAAGTTTGCAGGTATTTAGTCTTAAAGTACAGGATAAATGAAAATGTTGACTTGGTGATATGGCACTGGAGTTTCAGTCAGATCCCCAACGTGATTACAGTCCATCCTGAGGGAGAACGAATGTCTGAACCAAAATTCACAAGAAGGATTCATCCTCTGAGAACCACAAATATCAAAGATATTTCAAGCTTGCTGCAGGAAAACATCACCAAAGCCATTACCATGAATATCCGTACAACATTTGATAGTCATCCAATCCATCCAATGGTTGTTGAGATATTTCAGTCTGACAGTCAACAATTGATTAGAGCCACACCACCAGCTTGAAAACTGTATGTTATAATGAAAAAAAATACTCCTTGAGTGAAATGAGGAAGCTTGACATTATGAAATACACCAATCATAAAGAGAATCCAGGTTTTTTGTTGATAAAAATTTTTATTATTATTTTTCTCCCAGTACTGGAGGTTGAATTATGAAAAAAAAAAAAAAAAGAAAAGAAAAAACATCAGCAAAAAAGGAGCATCAGTTTCTTGCATACATCTACAATATTAGACAAGGATAAACATGCTGCTCTTATTTATCCATGTACATCATGGCATTCATCAGCTGCCTGACAAAAGGTTTTTATTTACCCCTCCAATACTAGAGCCCCCCACCCTCACTTCCCACTCCACCCACATTCCCTGTGAAACATTCCAAAATAATTAGATAAATAGTTAATAAATAAACGAAAAAATAAATAAATGTCTAAGTAAGTAAGTAAATGAATAAATAACTGAGAAAATCTGAGAAGGGGGGGGGGGCAGACTGCTACAGAGGGGCAGTATAAAGCATGTATTGGAGGTAATATGAACACTGGATACAGTCAGCCATTGTTCTTCAGTCTGGGTCAAGCTCCTCTAGAGTTATAGCTGACTGCTGACCATTGAACCCTATCAGTGACTCGCTCACTGTCTGTATCGGCACCATCCAGGTGCAGCCTGATAACCTCTAGCAGTTCTTGGTTGTTGAGACCTGCTGGATTAAAGGGAACACATACTCTGTCACTTTGTCATAATTTTGGCTTTTACTCATTTGACTTCGTTCAGTGTGCACATTTAGTCCCTGGTCATTAGTCTTACAGTCACATATTCTAATTTCGCCCCTGAGGTTGGCAGTGTTAGTGCTACTTATCTCTCATATTGATTGTCCATTTCTTCCCCTCCATTTAAAGTGATAAATCTTGTTTACTTTGTACTGGATAATTATACCAATAAAAAGGAGCCCTTAAGAGGTCTGGGCTCCTACACTCAGCCAGCAGTCTGCTCATTACTACGCCCTTAATCATTTTTATCAATTAAAAAGAAAGGCTCTGCCTCTATTCCTGGAGCTGTCTTTACTATTATTTTTATCATTTCACAAACAGCAGGCTCTTATTTGGACATGTATAGCTTTGCCACAGGAAAAAGAGAATCTCACAAAGCAGAGGTAAATTTCTGGAGAGCAAAAGCTTTAATGATGTTGATATGTTGTTAAAAAAAAAAACATACAATAGCCGTGTCCTGCTACAGAGCTGCACCATAACTCTCTGCATTGGGTGGTGCTACAGTGCGTCTACCCGAAGAGGAAGTAGAACCAACATGGCCTCATGTGTGACCTCACATATGATACAGTGCAGCAGAGGGCTTGGGAGATTTATGTTCAACATCCTCTTGTTAAATAAGCAAAGGGCCCCCGAAACAACATCTGCAGGCAATCTTGACGAACCCTCCCACCAGCCTCGCCATGCCAGCCGGGGCCCCAAGTTCCCCTCGTCATAGCATCAGGGGTCGCGACCTCTGTGTACAAAGCGTGGATGCGGACCATGGTGGAAAAGAGAACTGCAGATCATAAAAGTCAGAGGCCACAATAAAATTTCCATGCTGCTCCCAGGAAATGGATTAATCTATCTAATCAGGTCAAAGATCACATATCGGTGGAAACAGAGACCGTGAGTGGAAGTGGAATACAAACATTATGAAGTTAATTTTTAATATTATCCATGAAGAAAAAACAAAATAAACAAACAAAAACTTTGGGAAAAAAGGACACATAAGCTAAATCATGTCTCCTGACACGACTGTTTACTTTGAGAAGCGTTCAACAGGAGGCTGCCTTTCTTCATTCGAATGTTTTTACTTGTTGATGCTGCATGACAGGAGGCATGCACTTGATGCAGGAAACCATCTCACCATGTGACGAGATGACATGATAACTGCACAGTTTTAAGGTTGTAAGCCAACTGCTGCTTCCTTTAGCCCTCAGTTTCTTCCCTTAGTTTGACGATCAATATCCACATAGAACAGTGTAATCAAATATGAAAATCCTCACTGCAGTTTTATATAAACATACATTTGTTCTCATATCAAAATGTGCAAGTTGATTTTATGTTAATGCTAATGTGTCTTCATGCTCAGACCTCTGAAGGATTTGAGTGTCATTGGTCGGTGGATAAGTAGTTTTGTTTCCCCTTAAAGAAGCTTTAAGGTATTAACAGTGTTATCTTCTCCATATATTCATATTCTTGTCTTCATTGACTGTATTTACACATGCACATGAATCTTGGTTAGGATCAGGTATTTGAAATATCCTGGTTGTATTTGCACATGTAAAAACCATAATCTGGTTTCAGATAGAAACCAATAGAAACTGGGGCGTAAACACTCTCTGCCACATCAATCAACCAACTATGTAGCAGTCAATAAAAGAATATATCTATTTTTATATCTATGTACGTATATCTTGATAAATGGTAAATGAGGATCAACATGCTGAAATAAAGGGAAAGACTGACTTCCATTGTGTATATCATGCATTGTATTATTGGTCTCATTTTCTCTTACTCAGATTATCCAGTAAATACATGAAGAGTTCAGACAACCAGGAAGTAAACTGAAACTGTTATAATCATGTGTACAGGGATATAAATAATCAAGTTTCTTATGTTTCATGTACATGTCATATCCTGCCCATACAGAAATGCAATACAACATACTGTATATGTGCCTGTATCAAGAGTGATGTTCCATATACTGTATGTTCCTAAGGGGATATATTATTATCACATATATACTTCTTCTAGATATATGAAGATTTACATTTATAACATATATGAAATACTCAGTGTAAAATCTGTACATGTGCATATATTTAAATCATCAATGTGATTAATTTTAATATTGTTGCAACCATACATACTAATATATAAATGATATAGTATATTTATTTTAGAGTTCATTAAAACAACATACATATAAAACTCTTTCTCTTCATATATGTTTTTCTAATTAACTTCCCATTCATTTTAAACATGTCCATCTATTCATTTAACAATTATCTACAATATAATCATACATACATAGACATACGTTTGTATGGGCCAGATGTCAATATATGAAAATTGTTCCAATTTTTAAGGCTTCATATAAAATTTTTTACATATGTTTTTAAATTTATATGTATATATATTCTACTGCATATATAGGAATTCAATATACATATATTACATTTGCGTGTGGGTGAATATGACTAAAACTAGGCTAAGGGATATTAATATGCTTGTAAACACAGACACTTTATGATGTTTACACTGAGTGACATATTCATACTTATTCACACTCCATATTTTTTATGACTGTACTTCACATTTACTCCAGATTTTTATCGTTTGGGGTCATCACCAGGATTTAAAATAAAGATCTGTGTTTGAACACAACAACAGAACAGTTTGTGATGTCTTTGAATCTATCATTTGTGTAAATTACTTTTATTTATTCCCCAAAAATGTATCAAGTTGGAGCAAGTTATATTCAAATATTTTTATATGTGCTGAAGGAAAAGCATAAAAAGCCCCCCTATATCAGTCTGACAACAGAAGTTTCATGTCCTTAATCACCTTTATTCACAAACTAAACTGCAGGAGATTCAGTGCCCTGATAACATTTCTGTGATGTATCGTGATCTAAGGGCAAACTGAGAGCAAGAAGAGAGGATTCACTTTCAGAACCTGAGATCCTGGTCTCTGGACAGGCTGCCTGGTGCCGCAGCGACCAGTAGATGGCGTAGTTTTGTTGAAAGAAAGGAGGAGGCTGTCAGACCCCCGCAGGTAAAAGCAGTTCCTGCAGCTGTGGATTAAAAATATGAGAATACACACTTCCCTGCTCTCTGACCCGCTCTTACTCCCACACGCAGGCCTGTGTACTGGCAGTCCGCTTTACTCTCACTCACTTGGATTTACTGCCAGAGGTCAAGTATCTTTAGCACACCTGTGGTCAGCGTTTCGCTGCATCCGAGGGCAGCAGCCAATCAGGCTCATGATGAGGCAGCTGTGAGAGAATATTGTGTTTAGTCGTACTTGCGTCTGTGAAGCGGAAGTCAAAGCGGAGGTAGAGCTGACATTACATTTTTCAAACTACTTTCATTTTAGGCTTTAATACCACAAAGGAAGCAGCATTTTCACTTCATTCAGCCTCTTGGTCCACAGCACAGTTCACTCTGAGCAACACTGGGTCACATATCGTCAATACACTGGGCATCAAAACCCGCACTTCTGCGCCAGAGAGATGTGTCTGAGGTGCCACGTGGTTTCAGTGACAGCAGTGACACCAGCCTTCAAACAATGACAACGCAGAGCTTCTCTTTCACACATAAAACCTTCACTGCGTTCAGTAAAATCACATTGAGCTAACAGAACACACGGTTTAAAGAAAGACCTCTCTGAATTAGGAGTAATTTTGGTTAATATTTTCTGCAGATGTTCAGGGAGCTGCCTTCAGTGGTTACTTTTCCACTCGACCAAGTGGAAACTTCATCGGAGTCCATGTTACCTGATAGGCTCCTCCACAGCGTGCTGTAATTCAGAACTTTTTTTTTTTTTTTCAGGAAATTAAATCACACGATTTGCGACAGTTGCTCATTTACATCTCTGCTCTGCTGCCCCGTGGCGCGCCAATGCCACCTAAAGAGAAACTCCCACAAGCTGAAATTTTAATGATGTGGCTGTAAGTTAAAATCAAGTGTTTACTGTGACACGACATTCAATATAAAGTCACTCGGGCACCGCTGAGCGTCTCCCGCGCCGCGCAGCTCTTGTGTTGAAGCAACAGGCGGAAAAAAGTGCAGAGGGAAGACAGCCCGTACTGAACATTATTGCTACAATATCTCCCCCCCTCAGTTCTACAGGGTCGCACTCTGTCCATAACTTGTTTTGCCTGATAGGACAGCACCACGCACAGGACGCGCGCGGTGGACACCTTTACGCGCAGCGGCAGTTGTGTAAATGAGAGAGAGGTTGATGCAAGAGGAAAGAGGGCGGTCAAAGTGTGACGGCGAACACCGCGCTCTGGCAACTCAGCGCCTGGTAGACGGCATCTAGCACGTGTACTTTATTGTTCGTCCAGGGCACGGCTCCCGGCAGAGGACACGCATGCTTGAAAAGACCAACGAGCACTTGATGCCCGCTTCGGTGATGCCATGCCCCGGAACCACAGCGGCGAAGAAGGCGGCACTGGGCTCTGGATGAGGACATCGCCGGGGCACCGTACCGAAGGCTACGGTTTGAAAGATGTGGAGTCCGGACGGAAGATGATGAACAACGCTGGAGACGGCTTGCTGTCAGCCTCCACCGCCGCAGGTGCTGCCGGCTCCGAGAGCCTGAGGGGCAAGCAGGGAGCCCGGCTCAGCCTGTTGGGGAAGCCGCTCATATACAGCGCTCAGAGCGGCCGGAGAAACGTGCGGTACCGGCGGCTCCAGAACTACCTGTACAACGTGCTGGAGAGACCGAGAGCCTGGGCGTTCATCTACCATGCGTTTGTGTAAGTTCATCTTCATAACTTGTGAATATCTAAAGTTGCACACCTGTTGATGCTGGTCCACCCTCACCGCAGGAGCACCTCTCACACACTGACAGCCTAAAACACAAATACAGAACGATCCTACTACCTACTTTAGTTAACCTAGTGTGAACAGACTATCGTCCCTGCTGATTGAGCCTCACATATTCTCACACATCACATTGTCACTTCTTGGACACGATGGTTGACACACATGTGACTCGTGTGAGTGTCATGAACGCACAGCTCATCTTTTAAAAATACACCACAGCACGAGCACCTCTTTTACCAGAGCCAGTTTCACAGCTTAGTGGCTGTTTGAATGAACCCACCGCAATCCATGTCCAGGTTTCTGACACAAAGAGAGGCTTTCCAGCACTGTTCCCCTCTTGATAACTGTGCAGCAGTCTTTAATGTGAGGTTTAACACGCTCAGCCCTGGGGTTAGTGCAGTTGCAGCTTCGCCAAAACATGGCTATGTAGTGGTAAATATCACAGACTGGTGTTTTTCATTGACTTCTGCATTTATGAGGGCCTCAGTAAGTTTCACATATGTACTGTTGAAACCAGATCCCAGGCTCTGTTGGTTCCTGAAGGTCCGTACTCAGGAACATCTTTAGCCCTCCGGTCTGCTCTGTCATTCTTGGCCTCCCAAACAGCTGCATTTGATTTCCCGCGTGCGACTGTTGTTGTGGCATCATGACTTTTTCTGAGAGGAAGGAAGTTGAGACACACGCTGACTGTAGAGCACCATCTTTTTTTCTTTTTTTTTTTTCAATATTATCTTCCTGTTGCAAATTGAGCTAACAGACTTGCTAATTGACCGTTAGCAAGTTAGTTTTTCCCCCATTCAATACTCTGTTGCACAATGATGCACAATCCTGACAACTAAATGCTACAGACAGAACACTCAGGGAAACATAAGAAGCTCAGACAGCACGCATGTTCTCAACTTGCTACTATGTTAACCCCTTTGCTCTCCTATCTCAGTTGGAGAGCATAGTGGAAGCAGCAGCAATCGATGTAGACAGTTCACTGGCATACTATGACACATCGGCACTATGAACCCCAACAGTGGATCCTGTAGTGTTGTCTGGTGCATAATTTTTGAGAGGCCACTTTTAAAAGATAGAACGTGCACTATCTCGATCTAAATACACTCGCAACCTCATTGCTACAATCAGCTGGCACAGAACAAAACACAACCCCACCACAGCATACTTGGGCAACACACAGCACACACCATGTGCGCGTGGTCTGTCTAGATCTGACACAAAAACGCCAGATCACAACCGAAAACAAAAAAGAAAAAAAATAAAGAAAAAT